CCCGCTATGAGATATGCAAAATAATAAAACAGTCATAACTTTTATCAAGCCTATTGTTAACAATCGACCCAAACCGATCATAGAAATATAAATTTTGTTTGGCATAACTTAACAATCAGTTCAAATTTATAGTTTTGAACTAGATTTTGAATAATTAGTAAAGGCGACGCATTGTTCATTGTTCAGATTAGAATGATTAATAAATTGCACATAAAAGAAATGAAAGAAACAATAGGTAAGTATCAGCACCATTTTCAAACTGAATAAACTATTTTTTTTTAACGCAGTTTATCGTAATGGAAAGCCACAACTTAATTTTCCACAGGGAAATTATTGGAGTGAGGAAAAAATACAAAAAGTTTGGGTGTGTGCCATTTCGGTACCTACTATACGTAAACTTTGACTATACTTTCCCTACATACTTTCTTTTCCGGTTTTGGCATGGGCTGCTGGTAAATGGTGGGCTCTAATAGACTTATATCGTAATTCAGCATTAAACTCAATATAAGACCTGATATAATTTTATTCTATTTAATTTAATTAGGCGCAATTTTTTAAGGTTAGATTGCTGCCTAAATATCCTCTGTCTTTTTCTCATTGTTTCTTTTCTATCGTGTTTCTTTTTCTTTCTATTTTTTTTTCTGCCATCTGTTTTCTTCTCCCGGTTTTTCTTCCAGTCGTCAGTCTTCATTCTAGATAACCAACCTAACAACAACAACATAATATACAAAAACAATCAACAAGTAAACTCTCACGCGCATCTTTTCTGCTAACGCCGCCATTTTAGGGTACATAGCATAAGTTCAAGGGCGGTTTAAAGAGGGGGTAATTACCCCCCTCCCCCTCCAGACAAAGATTTTCTTCATACATTTATTAATTACAACAAAAGACAAGTTCTACAATGCCTTTAATCATTGCATAAATTGACAGGTTCACCAGTATCGACGTACCTACTACAATACAGTGAAATGAAGAGTATTTCATTTGAAAAAAAATTAGCTATGGTTGTTTGGAATGTCTGGCTTTGTGTACAGTATTGCGAAGCGAATACCCTGTAGAGTGTTATCAGATTTTCATAGGACTATAAAGTGAATGTAAATATGCACTAACAACCTGCAAAAGATTTAGCTTATAGGATCTCGAATGAAATATGTTGGTTTTTGTTGACACATGCAAACTGCGATTTTTTGAAAAAATATCAAATATTTCTAAAACGCTTGAGTTTTAGTATAGGAACCTAATTCCTAACAAAAAGTATGTGCGATTTTTAGAACAATCCATTAATGAACTAAAATATAGGGTGTTCCATTTCTGTTCTGTCGCATACCCCATTTACGGAGTACTCTGTATATTCAAAAATATTTTTGACTAATGCATCTCAGAGAGTCAAACAACATTGTAATTATTTTTTTTTTCTTGCATCACCCTGTTAAGATATATCGTCCGATATCGCACTACGTGGACACCCTGTATAACTATCTTGACGGCATCGGAATATATTTTTGCGAGGCGAGAAAATCATCTATGAACCGCCACTGCATGAGTTAGCCTGATGTCTTGTATATGCTGTTTTATAACAGTATATTTGAATGCAAAAGTCAAAATAATGCATAATATTAACGACACAGCATCATTATTAATTCGAATGATTATTTTAAGTCGCCTCCATGCTGCAATAATAAATCAATATTATAGATTCTCCAATCGCCAAGAGATTACAAATATACCATTCACGGATTCCGGGTTCACTAAAACTCACTTCACAAACAGTAACAACTTTTATTAAACTAATTGATTTTATATAAAATATCACTTATCACTTATCTATACACGACAAAATATCGAATTCTAAAACTGACTTAGCTACTACTTGGCGCGTGTACTCGAGGGTTTTATCTAGAAAAACCTGGCGCTCTAATTGAATAGAATTCTCCGAATTGTTCACGCGACGCACAGACAATTGCATTTCTTAGAATCCGGCCGGGCTCCCGATGCAATTTCGTAACACTACCTCTCTCTCAAATCAGATCGTCCTGATCTGACTACCAAGACGCAACACCTCTTCTCCTTTGTCTATACCTCCACTCAGATCCATAATGATTTAATCTCTTCTTTTGCCTAACATCTTTATGACTGTCTTAGAACGCTAGGCTTTCCTGACTCTGACTCATGGTGTCCAAGTAAAGGGTGGGCGACAAAAATAAAAAACAGCCAGGTGAATTTTTTCTAAATTTTCAAGGTCGCGGCCTTTTCAAATATTGTATTAAATTTTTCCATTTTTTCTCCAGGGTGGCGGTGCCCACCTTGCCCATATGGGCAAACCGCCACTGGTATGCATGGCTCTTCCTCCCTTGAATTGATCTCATAGATACCTGATCCTGTTCCCTTTTGCGTTTTCGTGGATGATCGCAGCACTCCTTTTCATGGAAATTTGCAGTGCGGCTATTTGAAGGATAGCTTTGACCTTCTGGATCAGCATCAATCGTAATCGACTAATCTTCTTGGTCCTGGTTTTTCTTTCTTCGCTTGCCGGATTTTTCTTTTCTACATTTCGTTGATCTATACCCGGCTTCCCTGATCTCGAAAAATGATTCGAGGTCGAGGGCACTCTCTTCCAGTGGTTCACTTCCCAGCTATTCAGAACTCCGTTCTTGATCCGCATCCAATCGAAAGCTTCTAACAGGAACTCTTTTTTTTAGCTGATGCATGCTCGGCGTTGCAAGTTTTCAATAATCTCTAGTCACGTTTGAAATGTCCGGTTCTTCCGCAGCGGTAACATGCGGAGTTCTTCGATCTTCTTCATGTTTTACTGTCTGTCTTCAGGCTTCTTCTTCTGATCATTTGTCGTAAAAATTCTCCATGAAGTCCGCCAAAATTTGATTAACTTGGTCTATTTCCGCTGCTTGCTGGCGTGTAATTACCATAGAATATTCTGTATCTTTCTTGAAACTTGATTTTGAGTCTAAGGTTCTGTAGCTAAATTAGTTTTCCAACCAGAACACGATGGAATGGATAGAAAATCACTTTATGGACTTGTTTTTCGATGTCCAAATCAGTAATGAAGTCACTGTTCTTGTATCACTCACGGTTTCCAAATATAATTCTATAGAGGTTTGTAGAATTCTAAATAAAAAGCTATAGAAGTCTGTAGAATTTCCAAGAAAATTCGTTTGTGGGCTTGTTTTTTGATGTTAAATCCGGTAATAAAGTCACTATTTCAGTTCACTGATTGTATCCGCACCAAATAAGCTCCAATTAATGCACCGATTATCTTGATAATAATTCCACTAATTAGCTCAAACTATTCCAGTAGTTATCTTGTCAACTATTTCACTATTGAGCTCAAACTGTCTTACTAATAATCTCCGTTCCGACACCAAATTGTTACGGATTCCGGGTTCACTAAGACTCATTTCACAAACAGTAACAACTTTTATTAAACTAAGTGACTTTATACAAAATTCACTAATCACTTATCGAAACATGCACGACAAATATCGAATTTTAAAACTGACTTAGCCACTGTTTCGCGCTATTTATAGCAGACATTGTACTCGGGATTTATCTAGAAAAACCTGGCCGGCCTGGCTCCTGAGGCAATTTCGTAACAATATTTTAATATAGATTCTGCCGGTTAGCATCCACTTCCGATTTAAATATCGATCCTCAGACTGTGGATTTTTTCCAAAAGTCTCATTGTTTCTAAGGCTGGTATATTTTGAACAATAGCTGTCACTTCATAATAGAAAATATGCTGGTAGGCGTTGAGGCATGCTGAGAAACATAATTGAGAGAAATAGATAAAGATAAAGCTTTTTTATAACAAAAAATATTAATTTGGATGGCTTTATTTTAATCTTTTGTAATTTTTGCAATGAAATTCACTTTCGTCAATTTGTTGGATGAAAACTTATACGGCCTTGCCATAAAAACAATGGCTTCGTATTTGGTTTTTTAATTTTACGCGAGTTCCCTAATGTTTAATTGTTCTTTTAGAGCTGAAAGTGGTTTAAATGGGTGGATTATTCATCATATCATATCTCATTCAAAAGTTCTCAACCTTCGACCATTGGAGGACACGATCGCTCAGGTCCAGCTCAAAAAAAAAAATACGTCACGTTATTATAGTGAAACTTCTTTTTTGAAAAAGCTCATCCTACCCAAATACGGTATCCGCCAAAATAAACAGTACCGACATCTAGAGCTCTGAGTAATTGCGCACGCAAGTTGCATTTATCATATTTCACTTACTTGGCATTAGTTATGAGGTTGACATTAAGTTAAGGTCAAAATCTTCGTCATTATGGCTGCCAACCTTGGTTACGGTTACACGTTCCGTAATTCGTGGTTCCTGAATAACCGGTCTATACAGAACGTGGTTGGTTATGTCAAAGATGTCACCAAGGTAACCGGCGGCCATATCCGGCGGCGATTCAGCGTTCCGTATGAAACCGAAATTTTCAGCAACCACTTAATCGTTGTCAACCGATGTCAACCGACGTTGTACCGACCGGTTAACCAGGTTAGGCAACGGAACCCACCCTATGTGTCTTTCAACTGAAGAAACAGTTTTCTTAGTAGAGCACTTACCCTAATGCGCTGGCAAATTGCCCAATGGAGCAGAAGCCAAAATAAAGGAGAAGAAGAAGTAGAGCACTATTTCCGGTCATACGGAGTTGGAAGGAATAAAGGCTCAAGTTTGAAACAAGTCTTAGAAAAATTTCAGCAACCACTTTTAATGAATATTTTCAATGATTTGCAGAATCGATATGAAGCTTTTTTAAGTCGCCATGATGTATTTTTTGAACATATACTATACGCATGATACAAATTAATAAATGATATAATTTGTATGTTCGGTACTGTTTATTTTGGCGGATACTGTACATTCATAGAAGTGTTCGTATGACACATTTTCACGTGCAATGATTCCGGGTTGTTGAATTGTTAAGTGACAGTCAATGTATTTGTTGTTTTATAATATTTTCTGGTTTTTCTAGGTTGATTCCACATTAGAACCGGAACCGGAAATCGTCCAAAACGAGTCGAAACCTTCTCCAGAAAATGACGAAATTGCTAAAATTAAGATTGGACATGTCTTGGGGGAATTGATCGATTCTGAAAGATTGTATGTCTCTGAATTGTTATCCATTATAAAGGTAAGAAAAATTTACTTAACAATTATGATATACACCGCCAATGGTGATAACATATCCAAAAACCTATAAATTAGAAGCTGGTCTATAGTTATCGGCATTTATTTTTTGAAAACTGAATTTTTCTTTATTCATCATATATACAGGAACCCTCTGGCTTTGATATACGTTCCTTTTATTCTGGATGATGAATAAAAATGCGAAATTGGTCAAAGATTGGCAGGATATTCTGCATCACTGCTCCTATATAATGTTGCAGCTAGTGTCAAACTTTGCTTTTTCAGGATTTTCTGAAGATAATGAATTCATAAATACTAACACTGCAGAAATGGAGCTCACATTTATGCGGATTATCAGTTAATACAAAGCATTGGGTATATCGGTATATCTCATTTCATTCCCGGATATATTGATTCCTACTAATTTTCCAGATATTGTGGCATATGAGCAATGTTTCAGCTAGACATTCTAACATAATTAATCAACATTTCAGTGGTCTAATTATTTTGATAGAAGATTGATTTGCTAGTTTTCTGAAAAAGTCACATTTGTTACATTGTTTTTAGCAAATGCCTAAACTAAATTTTTCCAAAATGTTTTTCACTCCCAAAAATACTTCTCTTCTCGTCCCAGTGTGAAAATTGAATTGTATGATTTTTTTTTATAAATTCTCTAGTTTAGATAATTAAACTTATAAACAAACAATCAAGGAAAATAATAATTATAAAATACTGGCAGCAATTCTTCTTCTAATACATACTATAGATTCTTTGATAAATAGAATCCAAACTTGTCCATACCGTTCCCATAAAAATACCTAAGTTACGCAATTTATAACAAATTGGCAGTGTTAATTACCGTACAACTCTATATTTAATTATTATTATGATGCCTAATGGCTTCATTTAAAAACTGGTTGTAATTATTATTGCAGGGATATAAACACGAAGCTCAACAAGAAGAACACCAGCATTTAATTCCTCCCAACGCAAGCAAAAAATTTGATGTGATTTTTGGAAATTTGGACGACATTTATGAGTTCCATTCTGTTTTTCTGAACGATTTGGAAAATTGTATCTCGTCCTCCGAGCTGGTGGCTTTGTGTTTTGTTCAGAAGGTAAGCAAGAATGAAATATTTTATCCAAATTATTGAAGTATGTAGTTATAATGAACATTTACCAGGATGTTTGATGTGGGTGATCTCAAACAAGTTTAAAATGTTATTACGAACATCATATTGTCCAAAACCCTTTTTCTTTCAATTCAAGAAAAAATCTTCGAAAATGTTTTGATTAGATGTCTGGAACAAAGGCCTCTAATAATTTTAAAATTTCAACAAAGCAATTTAGGTATTATTATTTATTATACAGGGTGGGGTACAAAAAAACTTCTCAGATGTTAAGTAATTAATCAAAAATCGCTCAGTAAATTTTTGTTTTTTGACACATTTTATTGGTTTTTTCACCCCCTACCTATCAACCCCTAAGCGGGGGTTACATACCCCCAAAAAAAAACGAAAAGGGGGGTCGGGTGATAAGTCATTTGATAGCTATTTTTATTAGGTTTATATACCCGAAGTTTTAAGTTGCTATACCTACTATTTACCCTGCCGAAATGGCATTTATTGAGTGAATAAGCACGATTATTAACTGAATTCTTGAATGACAATGACAATACTCAAATACCAAAAGCCGCGTCCAGATCAGTAAATAAATGCGTTGCGTTGAATTCGGGATTTGCCACAAATTTTTGCGGCGCAAGTTTGGTATCTTGACCCACATTAATATTTGTGTTGTGCGCCGTGCGTTCTTGCTCAACACGTGTGTGGCGGAGGTGTATGGTTTTCCTAAGCTTTGTATCCATTCTGGCAATTCTGGAAACAATCTTGTTTATCAAAAATTCAAAATCATTTGGAGACATACGCAAAAAAAAATTTGAAATGACCTGTACTTTCATCCATAGATAGAAAAATATAGACTTAGATAGAATATTCAATAATGTGCTACCATTAGATTGTTTCTTATGCTGATACAGATGCTTATTCCAATAGCGCCTGGTTTTGTTTCTTTTTTCTCTTCCTTCTTCTTAAAAAGAATGGACGTAAAATTGCCAAGAGAACTGTTCGGTTTATTTTCGGTTTCTTTTTGCCTTCTTTAGCTGATAGGATACTTTGTTTTTTCAAAATTTGAAAAAAGTCAATTTTCAATGTTGGGAAATCACCAGTAAAAATTTTCTTCTAGAATTTTTTCAAGCTTTAGGAGGCGTTGGACGTAATATTGCCAGGAGACCTTTTCAGTTTCTGTTCGCCTTCTCTACCGGACAGGATATTTTGTTTATTCAATATTCGAAAAAAGTCAATTTTCAATGTTCGGGGAATTCCCAGTAAAAAAAATTTCTGGAAGTTTTTCTAGTTTGAGGAAACGTTGGACATAATATTGCCAGGAGACCTTTCCAGGTTTGTTTTTCTGAAATTCGAAAAATTTCAACTTCCAAGGGAAACCCTTAAAAATATGTTGTTTTGTTATTATTATTGTCAACTACTTAAGTAAATACCACTCTGCGCATCAATTTTACTAAAGTGTGTCGACGGGTCAGCATTAATTTGGTATAAATACCGCGTCGAGATCCATTACTGGCAGACTGAGGCTATTGCAAAGTACCTCAATTGAGAAAAGCCCCTCTAGCTAAGTCTCCTCCCAGTAGGGTTGCCAAACTATCGAAAAAAAAACTATCGATAGTGATATGGATAAAATGGCTTATCCATCGATAGTAACTATCGATTGTACTATCGATAGTTTGCTCTGGTATAACTGGTATAAATTAATCAAAAAATAAAGGTATATTTTTTTATTTGAGAAAAAAAGACTCAAAAACTCTAAATACAACGTAAACTAGGCTCTACTCTAACCTATAAAAAAAAAAACGAACCTATTTTGCATGTCTACCCCAAAAAAATAATTACAGATTTCTCAAAACAACTACAGATTTATTTATATTTCCCTCAATTTACAGACGTCTTCATTCACCTTTGGCTACTTTGGAACTATCGATATTGGTACAGAACTATCGATACTATCGAAAATAAAAAAAAATTCGATAGTATCGATATTCCTATCGATAGTTTGTTCTCCCTACCTCCCAGTGCAAACTACCTTTAATGGGAAACGCCCTTCTGGACCTGTCTCAAACCCAGCTTTAGTCTTCAGTCACGCCACGCGTACAGAGTGTACCTAATACAGAGTGGCCTATAAGTAGTACTTCCCTCCGTAGAAGAGACGTCATGGTACTATTTTTAGGGTAATACACGGTGTCCCAGCCGAGAGTGACCCATTTTAAATGCTTATAACTTTTAAACCAGGTGAGCTAGCTACCTGCGGTTTGTGCCATTCGATTTCTTTTGGTCTAAAGTTTTTTCCAGTAGGTTTCAAATTTTTTTGAAACTTATACAGGGCAAGTAAAAAAAAATCCGTTTTTCAACATCGAAATTCTCCACTATTTCTAATGGAACACCCTGTATATCACAACGTCAAAAAAAAGATTCATGTTTAAGGTTTCCATGTACCAATAGACATCGTCCCTAAAACTTGGAGTTTTAGCCGAAAAAAAATCAAAATCGAAATCTTGGTATTTTTGCAAACGCATGCAACTTCATGTTGCATGCAACTTGATATCACTATGGCAAACAGTTTTGTAACTGTCTAGTTAGATATCAATTAAGTTAAGATACATTTTGCAAGAAAATTTAACGAGTTCCAAAGTATTTTCTCTGGAACTCATTGAATAGAGATACCCCAAGAGTAACAGTTTGGTGTGCAATCTCTATTGAAAAAAAAAAAAAATACAAACCATTTTCATTGATGAATCAACAATAACAGAAAATGTATACACTGATATGTTCTTTTTCCCATAGTTAAGACAGGCGGTTATCTTGGATGATATCTATTTTCAGCTGGATGGTGCCCCCGCCTCATTATTCATTATTAGCAATATAGATATGACATTTGGGGAAAGACGGATAGGCAGGGGCCTTATTCTGTAAATAACAAACCATTCGATTCGGTAGAATTTATCCGATTGTGACGTCATTTTCGGTTTGGTTTTCGCGCTACCAAACCGAAAACGACGTCACAATCGAAGAAATTTTACCGAATCGAACGGTTCGTTCCTTACAGAATAAGGCCCCAGAGCTGGCCTATAAAATGGACACCTTACTCTCTTGACTTGAGAGTTCTAGACTTTTTTCTATGGCGTTATGTCAAGGAAAGATGCGATAATACTTTGCTAAAATAGCCTGGAAGATCTTGAGCGGAACATTTGTAATGTCATTGAAGCGATTCTCCAAGAAATGTTACACAATTCATTCAACCATTTATTGATCCATAAATGCCTGGAAGAGAATGGCTAACATATACATATAGGTGACTACAGCATTTTGTATAGTTTTATGCAGTTGTTATTAACTTTTAATTAGTTAAACATAAGGTCCAAGCTTTGAAAATAGGTGTTTGCAAAAATACCAAGATTTCGAATTTGATTTTTTACGGCTAAAACTTCAAGTTTTAGGGACGATGTCTATTGGTATATGGATACCTTAAACATGAATCTATTTTTTGACGTTGCGATATACAGGGTGTTCCATTAAAAATAGTGGAGAATTTCGATGTTGAAAAACGGATTTTTTTTTACTCGCCCTGTATAAGTTTTAAAAAAATTTGAAAACTACTAGAAAAAACTCTAGACCAAGAGAAATCGAATGGCACAAACCGCAGGTAGCTAGCTCACCTGGTTTAAAAGTTATAAGCATTTAAAATGGGTCACTCTCGGCTGGGACACCCTGTCTTATTCTATATATTCAATACATATCTTATTGTACCAATACCAAGCGAGGTTTCCTCTACCTGAACCCTGAACCCCACCTACGCCCCCAGGTTACGCTCCTGTTGTGACGTCCCAGGACGAAACGTATAGGGGTTGTGACATATTGAGGTAGAAACCACACAGTTCAGATAATTTAAAAAAGGCATTTTTCCTGACTTTGACTAGCCGCCATTGCGACAGAGTGAATAGTAGCAACTTAAAACTTCGAGGATATAATCTTAATAAAATAGCTATCAAATGACGTATCACCGACATACCTGTCAAGCACTTTATCTATCATTTCCACCTGTGATCCATTTTTTTAAATTTAAAAATGTCTGCTTTCCTGGGGATCGAACGTTTTTAACAATCTGGGATACTAACCATTATACTATCCAAAAATTTTGTAATTTAGAGCTAAAGCATTCAAACATGAATATATTCTATTAAATTCTTCTCCAAGAAGTCAGTCCACGAGGTGACTAATAATGGGGCAAGTATTTAAAATTTTTCACATGTTTTCCCAGGTAACTAATAATTTAGACGCTAAAAAAATGAATTTCATATTTCAGCAATTTAAAAAACACTTATGATACCACTCTGTATAGTAAATCTCCCCAATGACCTTATGTATACCACATTATTTTTCCGCTGACGCTCACATGCTAAAATATTATCCAAGTCGCCATCAGTTGCAGTTTTCATGATCTTAGTTTCCTGCCTAGACGCGTGATTTTTGGTGGGTGAATTATCTTTGAAGTCGTAAGTACTATTTTAACTTATTAAAGTGCAAAGGTGATTTTAGATTTAAATTTTTTTCATAATTATCTCATCCAGCAGATTTAATAACTTTAATCAAAGTTCACCAAATATGCTTCTTTTTAACTTATAAGTACCTACTTTTTCCAGAAAATGTTATCCTGTCAATTTCGCTCACGAACGTTCACCAGGAAGGCTATATAAGCATGATAATTTCACTCAACTTTCCACGTGACGCCAACTGATCTAGCGAATGCATTCATCAGCATCAGCAGTACTAATAAGTGAAAAAATCAGGAATTATGTTTACATGGCCATGATGGCGTATAAATTATATAATAAAAATTCCAACCAGAAAGCACTGTTCGCAATAAAGTATGCAGCATGAACATCATGACATTCATTTTAGAGTCAACTACTCCAAAAAAGTTGCTCAACAAAATGTTTTTTTGGAAAATTTGCTCGGAAGTTCAGGTCATTTCTATTATTTTATATTTAAATAAATACATATTTAGTTTATTCCAATAATTTCCATATTGGAAAAGAAAGACGTGAAGATTCAACAGTTGAAGGCAAAGTGAAGGGCCTGCCAGTGACATACGTGAGGGTCATAGTAGAAGACGAGGAAGAGTTGAGATTGTTTCACCACAGACGAATCAAGCAAAAACCAAAATATTGAGGTTTCTGAGGATGAGGAGACAGCCTAGCATCATCATTGATGATGATGATGATGATGATGATGCGTTCGCCTATCAAAAATATACTCTATATTAATATGAACAAATAAAATAAAATATAATACATGTTTGACAGAAGCTTTTTTTTTTTGGTGGGGAAGTCGGAAGTCGTCTCATTAAACTCCGAGTAGTGCTGCAGTGCTGAATCTTCCTGTTTATTGCACCCATTCCAAAACCCTGGTTCCCTGCAGTAGGCGAAGTATGTCTGGATCTAGTTTATCTTCTCCAAATATATTTTGTCTTCTGCGCGTTAGTGTATCGCATCCTGATATAATATGTTAGGCTGTTTCAGTCTCTGTTTCGCATAGTCTGCAGCGCGTGTCTCCGTTGTACAAGCCCATTGTTTGCAGGTGCTTCTTTACTGGGGCATGCCCAGTAAGAAAGCCGGTTGCTACTCTGAGTTGATTCCTGCTTAGTTGTAGCAGTCATTCTGCTCTTTTGCTGCATGTCTCACGTATGAAGATTTTTCCATGTGCATGCTTGGGTATTTGCTTCCAGTATTGAGCATGTTTTGCTGTGATCCATTCCTTCAGCTCCTTTCTTACTGTGCTTTTGGGCACTGCGAGAGCTGGTTCGGGGCGAAGGTATTCTGTGGATGCCCCCTGCTTGCAAGCTGGTCAGCCTTTTCGTTGCCCGGGATACGTCTATGTCCTGGCACCCACATCAATGTGACGTTATTTTGGTCCGCCAAGTTGTTGAGTTCTTCTCGGCATTCTATCACCAGTGCTGAGTTTGCCTTGGGGTTCTTCAATGCCCCCAGTGCTGCCTGACTGTCTGTGCGTAAAGTAAGTCTCCTGTTTTTGCAGGCCCTCATATTGTTGATTCTTGCGAATCGTAGTATTGCGTATACCTCTGCCTGGAAAACAGATGTATGTGACCCTAGAGAGAAGAAGGTCTCGCATCTTCCTTCTTGACTATAGATTCCTGCGGCTGTACCATTCTCAGTCTTTGACCCGTCCAAGTACCAGGTCTGGCCTTTGAGATTTGAGAGTGCATGTTGGTTTTTCCATACCCCCTTTCACTAATTAGGATTTTGCTCAGGTTGTTTCGTTGTCTATGGAGGCCCATCCTGGCCTCCGCCTGAATCACAATATGTGTAGCGGAGGTAGGTCTAGTAGGACTTCCATAGCTACTGTTGGTGTGCTTTTCATGCACCCTGTACAATGCCTAGACAGGCAAGTCTTTGCACCCTGCCAAGTCACATTCTGGCTCTGTCTTTTTGTGTCTTTGTCCACCATATCAGAGACGCATAGGTTATTGCTGGCTTTACAACCGTTGTATATAGCCAGTACATCATGTCCGGCCGCAGCCCCCAGGTTTTTCCGAAAATTCTCCTGGCTAGTATAAGTACCAGTTGTGACCTTTTAATTACTTTGTCCAGGTGTTTGTTCCAAGTTAATTTTGAGTCTATGATTACTCCAAGATGATTAACTTCTTTCCACATCGTAAGGTCCAAGTCCCTCCATTTTCCTTCTTTTGGTGAAGGGGACAATTGTCGATTTGGTGGCACTAATTTTCAACCTTACAGTCTCTGTCCACCTAGAGCCCATTGTTAGAGCCTGCTGCAAGCGATCTCTAACTGTATGGTTGACTTTTCCCTGGGATATTATGTCCAAGTCATCTGCATATCCCACTACTTGATGGGTGTTGTTCTTCAGTAGCTCTATCAGCTCGTGCATCACCAGATTCCACAGCAGGGGTCATATCACTCCGCCTTGCGGACATCCCTTTGCAACCCGAGCCCTTATTGTTTTACTTAGGAGCGTGGAGTGAATGACTCAACCTCGAAGCATGCAGTCTATCCATCTGCAGTATGCATCATCAATACCTCGTTGGCGTAGACCACTCATGATTGCCTCGAAGGAAGTGTTGTCAAACGCTCCCTCTATATTAAGGAAGGCATCCAAGGTACTTTCTACCCGCTGGATGAGGTGATGAAGTGCTGTTTCAGTTGATTTCCCTGGTTTGTAAGCATATTGGTCCGGATGTATTGGTCTGGTAGCCAATGCATCACCCCAAATGTGCAGCTCAAGCAGTTTTTCTAGAGCCATCAACAAAAAAATACATGAGGCTTATGGGTCTCAGAGCTTTTGCATTGTCCTGACCTATTTTGCCAGGTTTGATGATGAGAACAACTCTAATTTCTTTCCAGGCTTTGAGGATATGATTTAGTCCCAAGCTTGCTCTAAATATAATCAGGAACCTGGAGTATAGCGTGCTATTGCCTTTTTGTAATAATACTGGATAAATCCCATCTGGTCCTGGCGATTTATATGGCTCGAATGAGTCAATGACCCATTTCAGCCTACGTCATCTTTTTGCCATCTGCCAGTCTTCCCTAGTGCCATATCTGGTTGTGGCTATGTCTACATAGTGACGGTTTTCGGGGTTTTCTTCAAGGATCACACTGTCTGGGAAGTGTATCTACTCTGTAAAACTCTTCTAGAGTTTCCTGTCCGGTTTGAGTGTAGTTTCCATTCAATGTTCTTAGAGAGCCAATCGTTCCTGGAGTGTCCTTGGAAAGGATTTCATAGAGCCTGGCACATTGAGGAGTCTGTTCGACCTCCTCACAGTGTCTTCTCTATGATTCCATCTTGGATGCTCTCAGGCGTTTGTTATATTCAGTCAGAGCTTTACGGTACTCGCTTCAATCTCCTTTTTCCTTTATTTTCCGAGGTCGTTGTTCCACCAGGAATTACACGTGATTGCAGGACAGTTGTTCATGTAGGCGGATGTAACAGCGGTCTGCAGTTGTTCCGCTGCTAGGTCCAAGTCTACGGTGTTTCTTATCGTCGTTTTTACGGCCCCCAAATTGTCCTCCAGGTCTTCCTGATAGGTTTCCCTGTTTATTCTGCGGGGGTTCTGATAAGTTTTAGTTCCAGGACTGTGTCCTGTGATCTCAAAGCTAATGTGTCTCTGATCTGAACAACTCACCTCATTAGTCACATGCCACTTTTTCACGCAGCCACTAACAAATGTTGTAGATACAGTGATGTCGAGTACCTCCTTTCTAACAGTTGTTATAAAGGTAGGTTTATTTCCCACGTTTAAAATGTCTAAACTATTTGCCATAATAAATTGTAGTAATGACTCACCTCTATTGTTGGTGTTTGTGCTGCCCCATATAGTATAGTATCACATCCCATTATGAGTTGCGATCCTTTTGCTCTGCAACTCATTACCAGGTTCTGTACTTCCCAGGTATTCTCGTCACCGGGAAATAGCGTTCTCTCAAGAGAACGATTGCTCTGTCTTAGTCACTCATTCTGTTATCTCCATAATACTGACAAAGACAGAGGAATCGTTCTCTCGAGAGAACGCTGTTCCCCGGTTACGAGAATACGTGTCCTGGTTGAGGATCATCTCCCGTAAGGTAGGCAGATCCGAGACAGAAGCTTACTGAAATTCTTCATTTTTTTTTTTAGGATCAGTAACTGTTAAATAAAATAAAAGAAATTTTTTTATGATCAAAATTAAATGATCCGGAACTCCTTCAACTCCGCCACCGGTTCTATAGCAACTAACAACGCGATATTATGGACCAAATTTGCTCTCAGATTAGTCTAAAGATATGAAAAAAATCAATTTTTATTCAACATTTTAAGAGATGGCCCCGCTGTTTATAAAAAAATCAAAGGTGCTCAATCACCCATTGAAGTGAGTCACGCTCACTATGACGTATAATAAAATTGCTAAACTTCGAATATTATCGTACAGCAATCATTATGTTTTGTTCCAGAGAGAGAAATTGTACACGTTGTACAGTCTATATTGTCAAAACCTGGCACATTCTGAGAACCTTCGAGAAATTTGCGCCGACCTAACGCCGTTCTTTCTTGTGTGCCAAAAAAAATTAGGCCATAAGCTGCCATTAGCGGCCTATCTTCTGAAACCCGTCCAAAGAATCACTAAGTATCAACTGTTAATAGGCCATCTTTTAAAATATTCAGAAGGAGATGCATGCTGCAAAGAATTGCAACTGGCATTGGATTGCATGCTCAAAGTACTCAAATGTGTCAATGACTCCATGCATCAAATATCCATTACAGGACTTCCTGAGGACCTACCACAACTAGGTGCATTATTACTGCAAGGATCATTTTATGTATGGTTCGAAAATAAGAAGGAGTTAAGACTGAGACTCAAACCAAAGAGGAGGCATCTATTCCTATATCAAAACTACTTGGTATTCTGTAAACCCGTATCTAAGGCTGACAGAAATAAGGCTACGTACCAATTTAAGAACTATCTGCATATGGCAAAAAACGGTTTAACCGAAACGGTTAAGGGAGATACTAAACGATTCGAAATTTGGTCGAAAGGCAGGCAAGAAGTTCATACAATCCAAGCAGCAAATATGGAAGAGAAAAAAGCTTGGGTTGATGAAATTAAAAGAGTTTTATACATCCAACTTGAAGAAATCAAAGGACAGAAAATTAAGCAATACGCTGCAGTCGTGCATCGGTAAGTAGTACTCCTAGCTGTCATAAAATATTTTATTTTGTAACGTCAATAATTCTTTATCTTTATTACAGGCCTCTTAGACAAACCACCTCCTGGGACACTCAAAAATCCATGTCATCCGTAAGTGAAGCGCAACCAAGGGCTATGAGTTGCGACAATGAACCTCAAGGCAATCATATCGATGACGGGGTAGAATCCCACGAAGCTGGAAACTGGTCTTCCGATGCTAGTAACAGTGATGATGAGGAACATACTGCTTCGGTGAGTAAATTGTGCAATCGTTTTTTTGTTTTGTATCAGTTTTAAAGAGTGTGAAGATGTGTGAAAAAACACTGGAAATATTGGATAAAAATATTGTTTCCAATTCAACAATATGTAGTTATTACTGCTCTATATCTGGAAATACCTACCTGTATAATTTTATGGAATGCAAGAAGATAGTGGATTTCAACTTAACTGGAAGTAATTTGATAAGCAGGATACTTTCGTTGTGGGATGCAAAAGTGCACCAAATGGGCTTGATAACTTCAAATTCTTGTACCTATATCAAAGGTATGTGTGTAAATGTGGTATAATACTTGTAAATCGTACAAGTATTCCTCGACTGACTCATTTTGACCTTGTTTTCTGTTTTCGACTTTTTTCTTGAGTGCCCTTTGGTAATCTGTATCATCAAATTTCTCAGAAAAATCTTTGACAATGTCTTTCCAGCTGTTCTTTTGGTGGGCGCGCTTATATTCCTGAAACCGCAGGTTTGCGGCTCCGTCCAAATATGTTTCAAAATAAACAATTTTTAGCTTTTCGTCTCATCCATTTGCTATCGCTGATCTGTCGTATGTTCTTAGGAACTCGATCGCGCTGGTTTTACACGGTTACAAGGTTTGAGGGCTGATAAACTGAGGCAACTTTGCCTGTTTTTCCGCTGTCATGGCGTCAGTTTATAGTGGCGTTCGCCATTATATCAGATTGTTCTACTTTGCCTTTTGATGGTTGCCTGGGTTTTGGAGCTTCTTGAAGGGTGTCTGGTCGGCTGCCAAAAACACTGTCTTCTTCGTAGCCTGTTTGATCATCCACTCACTTTCAATTTGTTCTAAACTGATACTGGGTGACCCTGGTGGTGATCTTTGAAGTGGCCTTCTTGACTGAGAAAACGAGTATTCGAATCCTGTGCTCCTATAAGACGGTCTGAATGATTCTTTTGGTGCTGTAGCTGCTGCGTTTTTTGGCCTCAAGTTGTAGGCTGGTTTGTCTGACATCTATATCACATCTGGCAAGCTGTTCAAATATTTCTGCTTTAAAAAAAAACGCTTTTGCCACAGTGTCGTGAACTTTTTTCGATTTTGTGCCTTCGCCGAGGTGTCGTGAATTTCTCTTTTTGTCGACGTAACCGGGTGTGACCGGTCGTGGCGTGGTATGGGCGTTGGTTTGCAAATGTGACGAGGGGTTGTAGGGTGGATATATGGAGAGAAACTCGCTCAGTTTTATATAAAGATATGTATGTAAGAAGTCATTACGTCATGAATCCTCCAGGATGCATGCTCTTCCGTGGGAAAGGCCACACATTTGACGCTACTTAGGAAGGAATGTCTGTTTAATGCTAATGTTACGTTGAATGCTAATCGTCGTTTAACTGATCCCCATCTAGAGGGGCTCTCCCAGGGTGGCGGTACTTGCCAATTAAATTAATGAGGTTGAATACCGGGTCCTCCTTTCCTAAGTAGCTAGTTGACAGTATCTTGGATGCTTTGGCGAAAACTGACATATCAATTAATCACAAATAAGCTGTTCGTTCTTTTTTTGAAGACTCAGAAATTCGTTATGCCATCCAACTATTGCGACTTTAACAATGTTAATAGGTCCATTTTTTGTTTTCTTTTTTAAGCAAGAACTCATTCTCACCAAATTTACTACCAAACATGTCGTTCGCTAGATACTTCTTCTTTTTAAGCTATTCACCTTCCCACACCATCAATAGTTTTACCGTTCGACCTGTTTCAGTTTCTTCAGGAAATTTTTAGTTCCAGAAGACAGAATATTAATTTCTTTATTCATCAAAGAGGTATCAGATATGTCATGTCCCAGGTCCATAAGTAAACAAATAAAATAATGACTTTGGTTTACAAGCTCATTTTTTGCCACAGAGAAATTTGTTTAATAAAAAATTCTCATGGAATGCTAAAAATACAAAGGACATGATGGCAACCAATACATTTAATCCTGGACATACAAAGTTTTCAAGTTAGGTACCTGGTACCTAATCTAATCAGTTTTTTTTTCCAATACTTTTCGGAATTTAACACATGCTCTTGGAATTACGGTTTTCACTAAATGCTAGTTTAAATTTTCACTGAAATATTGAGCTCAATGAATTTTTTGCAGTGGTGTGGAGTGAACCCTCCGACAATTTTTTTTGGCCGTGTGGCTTCCTTTTCAAGGAGCTTTAAGAACCACAAGCTTCAAGTTAAACGTTATAATTAACCGTTGATAATAAAAAGCCTGCAGCTCCATTATTTAGTTAGTAAGGTATATCAAAGTTTTAATAAGTTTTGTGGTTTTTTTTAAATTTTATGTTCTAATAATAATAAAAAAAACTTTTTTCTGTGCAATTACTAATATTTCTGTTTTGCTTTATTTCAAATACTAACCTCCAGATATGCATAGTTGCGTATATTGTCGTTATCATCAGTAACTCACCTACCGTGATTTTTCCGCGTGAAGGCTCACCTAATCAGGGTTTTCATGACATTTTTGATACGATACATATATTTGAATTTATTTATACTTTTTTAGCCTATCCCAGAGCAAATTTGCTCTCGATTAAAAATGACTAAGTGAATCTTTAACAATTGCGGTGGGTGTGTTATTGAATAATTTCATGAGTAACTGGCTCTCATTTGTACTTTATGCAGTGCAATCGACGTCACTTCTTAAAACTTATTTGTCATAAAATGTCATATAATTTTTGTGTACCTATATACAGGGTGGGGCACGAAAAATTTCCCACCCATAACAATGTTGTTTCATTACTTTTTATTTATAAATCTGTTGTTTTGTTATTATGAGGTAGAAAGCACACAGTTTAGATAATCGAAAGAAGCAGTTTTCCCAATTTTGACAAGCCGCCACTTCGACAGGGTAAACAGTAACAACTAATCCTAATGAAAGTAGCTATCAAATGACGTATCACTCGACCCCCCTTTCTATTTGGAATTTTGGGGGTACCAGTCACCCTCGCTTAGGGGTTGACAGGTAGGGGATGAAAATACCAGTAAAATGTGTCCCCAAAAAACAAAAATCAACGTGTCCGAGCGATTTCTGATTAAAATCACTTAGCACCTGAGAAAACCTCGGTGGGAAGTTTTTCGTGCCCCATTGTACCTGATGTACCTATTTTTTTTTGTATTGTACTAATTATTTTCTCCATTTATGAGAGGAAATGGGACCCCTTTTCTCATAATGGGATCTTTCACAAAAATTTGAATACCTACGTAAAAATTAGTGAAAGCCCAATCAATGTGTAGTACCTAAGTGTGACATCAAATTTAGAATACCGCATAAGAGCATAATATGGCCGTTTTCCCAGCTCAATTGCATTTTTCTAAAGCTCATCGGCATTGTTTCATTTTGATTTCTGCTAAAAAGAATGATATTTTTCACAGTAAGCGTGACAATGTCAAACACTTGTCTCAACAAGAAAACGCTTTCATTATTTGTTGTTACACTGTAGTAGTGATAAAACTACTTATCTTCTAACTCCCTAAAATACTATAATTCAATTATGTTAATCAAATGGAATTAATTTTAGAGAAGTCGATATCTAGCCCTGGCTGATTACTGTGCGATTGGAAGTAGTGAAGTAAATATGCGGGAAGGTGACATTGTTGAACTTCTGAAAGTTGGTTGTGCTGGATGGTGGTTTGTTAAAGTTGTTGGTAAGTAACTAACCCTTACAATAATAGATCTGGCAAAATGAATGACTTACCTACTTTAACCTTGCATTTTTTTTCTGAAACTGAGGATTCACGCTGTACGACTTGAAGGGATGAAGACTAACTAGACTTTATTAGTGAAACATTTCCAATGTTCAAGTCGTTCAACAATACCAATTAAATTTGGCTGGAAAAACTTGGTGGTATAGTACAGGGCCAAACAAGTTGTTTTCTTATGTTGTTTTCTTATGAGAAAACACCTCATTTGATTTGAGAGATAGCAAATTTTCAACCCCCGTTTCTGAGGCTCGAATTTTATGAAAAACTCACTGGTTCAAACAAAAATTGGCTATCTGCAACCGTTTGGTAGCTAGAGAGCGTTTGTGAAAGCTCTGCAATTTAAACAATGCTACGTAACTTTTTTATTTTTAAAGATACATTAAATCTCAAAAAACCTTTCCCCGCTTACGAGAAACTAAATAAAATTGAAATTTTCTTATAAAGCACCCTGTATAATTTTACATATTTGAGAAAAGCTTAAAATTACCTTCTCAACGATATAGCACACATTAAATTTTGCCTTGATGGTTATGCGGAAATATTTACGTTTTTATGGTTCTGAATTGACGCTGCGCATCAAATTGAAAATTGGTATAAATTAATTTTGTTTTTGGTATATGCTCTAAAATTTTTTAGAATTGCATAAAAATTATCTTTTTATCGCATACTCGCACAATAAAAGATGTTTCACATTGGAATAGAGGCGTTTTAGGGTATTTTAAGGTCGATTAAAAAAAACGATCGGACACGTCATTTTTGTTTTCAAGGGGGAAACTTTTTGACCCCATCGGTATTTCGCTAGGGTGCACCCCCTGAAGCACAAAAAAAAAATAAAAAATTGACGTGTCCGAGAGGAACGCCAAGAAAGTGTTAATTTGAGAATAACAGTGCCAGAAGATTGTTTCTTATTCAGCCCATGGCAACTTTGAAAGTGAATATCTTGGGAACTAATCATTCGATTTCCAAAAAAAACACGCAGTTGTGACAAGAATCGAAATACCTTTAAAACAAGGTACCACTCAACCCATCTTCCCTATCTAAAAAAGAGGGATGAAAGTCACACCACCCAGGGGGTGCACTCTTAGCGAAATACCATTGGGGTCAAAAAGTTTTCCTCTTGTTGAAATTCAACACGTCATTTTTGTATTCAAGGCTTGAATACAAAAATGACGTGTCCGAGCGTTTTTTTTTTTTTTAAATCGACCTTGAAATACCCTGAAACGCCTCTGTTTCGATGTTCGTGAAACACCCTGTATAGTGCGAGTATGCGATAAAAAGGTAATATTTATGCAATTTTCAAACATATTAGAGTATATACCAAAAACAAAATTAATTTATACCTATTTGATTCGCAGTGTCACGTAAATTCAGAACCATAAAAACGTGAATATTTCAATAACCCTTAAGGCAAAATATAATGTGTTCTATATCGTTGAGAAGGTACCCAAATAGCAATTGGACGTCGGGTCCACGTCGCCTCACACAACCCGACGTTGGTTATTGACGTCGGATTAACCATTTGCCGACCATTTTTTGCACTAATTTGAAATATTCAAATTTGAGTCGTGCCGACGTTGGTAACCAAACTTCGAAGTGCTAGATCGTTAACCAAATGCAACGTTAATTTACATTTAGATCACCAATTTTCTACGTCCTAACCCTGATACGACTTCTTTTGGAATTATGTGAGATGAACGGCAATAGTGAACTGGGTATAGTATAAAATAATAATGGCGTGCGAATTTTTGTAGTGAGTGAAGGTAAATAATTAAAACTTGCTGGGCCCTTGTTGAGACCAAATATTTCCAATGCACGACACTCTACTGATACACATGACCATGGTAGGTCGAAAAATATGCATGCCTCATCTATATTGTCGAAATTTATCAAATTTAATTTTTAAAAAATATATAATGAAAAAGAAATAAAATATATAGTTATCGGAAAATAAAAATCAAATTTTCGTAATGGCTGACAAGATGCTTTGTGGCAAAGATTTATTTATTTATTTATTTAAAGTAATATACGGAATGCCCCATTTATAAATATACATTTTAAAATAAAGATAACAATAATTATTATAACTAGATTAACAATAATAAATCATCTATGTCCAAACCAAATAATAGCACAATATCACAATTTGGACCGTAAAATATTGTTACGGTATCTATCAAGTGAGCCTCCAAAAGGATCAATCGCGGGGTGAGCAAGGCCACGGGCGAGAGAAGAATGACCCCCATAATTAGTTCTATGGACAGGTACATAAAAAACCTCACTTTTTCTAAGAGGTCAGCATGGTTCTTTCAGAAAGACTTTACTGAGAAGATACGGATAGACTATGTAACCGTTAATCAGTTTATAAATGAAGTACAAGTCGGAAAATGCTCTTCTGTTTTCAAGTGATGGAAAAGAAAGATGAAGTTGGACATCTTCTAGTCTATCTGTCATATCAAGTTTATAGGCACAGTATTTTATAAACTTGCGTTGAACTCTCTCAAGTCTAAATGAGATCTTACAAGAGAGCAGTACAATAAATGGAGTGAGTTTACGGACAAATCCCTTCCATCTCTGAAAATGAAGCCCAATATCTGAAACGCTTTACCCACTATATACTTGATGTGATCTCTAAAAGTGATTTCAGAATCGAAATATATCCCTAGGTCTTTGATTGAGTTTACGACATTCAACTCTTGATCCCTGATTCTGTAACTAGTCTCATGTTTTTTCTTGTGCCTAAAAAAGCTTATAGAAGTGCACTTAGACGCATTTAGGGATAGTCCATTAAGTTCTGACCAGCTTGCAAATGATGTTAACGACTCTTGAAGTAATTTTGAGTCACTGTCGTTATTTACAATTCTATACAATTTGAGATCGTCAGTATAGAGCAAATAGGCATAGTTTTCAATATCACAGAGAAATAAGTTAAATAATATTGGGGTACAGTGCCCACCCTGTGGCACTCCATAGGTTACATCAATACCACCAGATTCGAAATTTCCAATCCTAACCTTCTGAGTTCTCCCTGTCAGCATACTCTGGAACCATTCCACAGTTCTTTCACCAAAACCAATAGCTCGAAGTCTGGCGACAAGTAGGTTATGATTCACCCTGTCAAACGCCTTGGAGAAGTCTGTGTAGACTGCGTCCACCTGAAACCTACTCTCCAAGGCATTCAAAAGGTCTGTCTCATAAGATACCAAGTTTGAGACGGTAGATTTACTACTAACAAAGCCGTGCTGGCGATTATCAATGAAATGTTTACATTTCCAGCTTAATTGATCATATACGAGGCTATCAAGTAGTTTGGGAATTGCTGATTGCTTGGAAATGCTCCTGTAATTACTTACACAATCCTTCTTCCCTGTCTTAAAAAGAGGAATAAAGCTCTCCTTCCAGATCCCCGGAAGCTCACCTTCGGCCAGAGACTTATTGAACAGTAACCATAGTGGTCTTGAAATGCAAAATCTAAGATTACTCAACAAATACTCAGGTACAGTATCTGGTCCGGATGACAATTTTAATGGTAAATGCGCAATCCTATTGAAAACATCAGACAAACTTGTGGCAGGTATAATAGCATTACTATTACTTTATACTATTGAGAAATATTCACAGAAAAGGTCTATGCCCTGTCCACCGTCGGCCACTTTGTTGTTATAGTACATACAGCTGGGCAGTGTGAATTCACAAACGACCAAAAATGTCTGGGATTCCAGAAATATCATGCTCAGATCTCTCAAAAAAAGCGCATAATCCCTCTGTACTAAAATTTTACAATTAGATCTAAGATTAGAGAACCTCGCATAGTGAGTTTGAGATCCAGATTCACAGAATTTTCTATGAGCCTTTTTCTTGTTGATGATGCAACTTCTTAGTTCGGTAGAGAAATAATTAGGAAAATTAAAGCTTCTGTAAATTCTACGAGTTACAAAATTATTCAAAGATTAATTCAATATTATGTAAAACAAGCCAGTAGATTCGTTGATTTTTTTTTTTGTAAACATTTCTTCCTACTGAATACTTGCAAGGTAATTGTTGACAGAAGCAAAATCTGAGTTTCTCTAATCCAGGTAAGATATTTCATAATTCACTGGCTTGGTTTGCACAATATTTATTTGTTATACATAAGCACCATGGTGTAGGCTACAAGGCAATAAAAAGTCACTGGCCAGTGTGACAGATGCAATTATTACATGACTGAAAACTAAGTCCAAATATACATTACGACTATTAGGTATAGTCATTAGTTGGGTAAGATTCAAAAAGGTAAAGTTCTCCGCAAGTATCTCAGCATGATATCCTGGAGCATTCACCTGAAGTCCATGTTCATCGCTGCTCCATTCAGCCCTAGGCAAGTTATAGTCCCCCCAGAGAGTAAGGCTGGCAGACGGGTAGTCATGGCATCCTTGTTCAACAGCCTCACATTGATGTAGGTATAATTCAGCACCACCACTCGGGGGTATATAGACTCCGCCAACAATTAATTGAGTGGAGCCTTGTTTGATAAATATGAAGAGATGTTCAACTAAATTGTAATTTGTTTTAATTAACCAAGAGCAGAGATTTTTCTTTACAAAAATAATGACTCTACGCCTAAGCGGAATAGATACGGGGTTTCGTTACGTTGCGTTGTGCGTATCGTTACGGGCCTCGCCACCACCGTATCTATTCAGCGCATGCGCAGATCGATGCGGATACGGATACGTTTGGAATTCAGGACCTGCTTAAAGTGTCTAATACGGACAACGCAACGCAACGAAACCTCCGTATCTATTCTGCGCATGCGCAGATCGATGCGGATACGGATACGTTTGAAATTCAGGACATGCTTAAAGTGTCTAATATAACCTCAATGGGGCTAGTGAACGTTTTTTGATAAAATATTGGGAATGGATACTTTGGCAATATAAGGATTACCATTTCGGTATCTGAGCCCTATATTATTCTCACCATCATTCTTCCTACGATCTAGTTCTTCGAATAATGATTTCAAATGACCTCTCTGCGTCACAGTAAGATCAGGTTTAATCTTGATATTACTTTCCCTGATTTTATATTTCGATCTAAGACATTGTGAGATAGCATGAGCATCGGAAAAAATTACTTTAATAGGTCTGGGGCGATCACCTGACTTACCCACACGTACAACCTTGTACTCACCAACCTGATGTTGGGCTTCCAGTTGATTCAGTAAATCACTAACATGCATTTTAGCATGATTTACTCTTACGTTAGTGTCATTTGAAATGTTTGTAAGTAATTGCTACATTTTTGAGAAAGGGGACACTGCAGACCAAACCATTTATTTTGTGGCTCAAATCGAATTTCGAATTATTTATAAAATTATCTCATTATTCGCCTGAAAAATAAACTGTTAACTGTTAATAATTACATTTGCATAATCACCTAATCAAGGTATTTTATATGTGCTCACTAGTGCTCACTCTAGTAGCTACTACTTTTGCAACTTTTCGCAATAGGAAAGTTAGGCGTATTATCAATACGAAGATGCTCGAGAAGATTAAGCCGGTGTCCGGTGATTGATGAATAAAGTATTATCGTGAAGTCGACAACTTTTGAGTGTAGGACAGTGTAAACATTTAATTGTAGTAATATTTACTAAGCTACGTTAAAAAAAATCAACTGGTTATAAATCATTTTTTATGTAACGTATCTGCTATATGTTTGAGAAGGGAGACAGCCTAGATCAAACCATTTATTTTGTCGGACAAATGTTGTTTCATATTATTTATGAAACCATCTCAACATTCAGCTACAAAATTAACTGTTATTATTTACATTTGTATGATCACCAAATAGACATGTTTTCCACCTACGCACTCTGTTAGCTACCTGTTTTTGGAATTTTCGCAATAGACAATTTGGGCGTCTTATCAAAATGAAGATACTCACGAAGATTCAGCCGGTTATTAATGAAAAAAGTTAAATCGTGAAATCGACAACTTTTGAGTGTAGGACTGAAAATAGCTACCTGTTTATTTGTAGGACAGTGTGACCATTTAATTGTAATAATATTTACCAACCTACATTGAAAAAATCAACTTGTTATTAATCATTTTTTATGCAACGTAATTGCTACATGTTTGAGGGGGGGACATCGTAGACCAAACCCTTAATTTTGTCGGACAAATGTTGTTTCAAATTATTCATAAAATTATCTCAACATTTAGCTGAAAAACTAACTGTTATTAATTAAATTTTCATAGTCACCAAATCGACATGTTTTACCCAAACTAACCCAAAACTAGCCCAGACATATTTCAGGCGGAAATAAACTCTATCAGTAGATGGCTGAGTCCAATCTTGACAGAAACTACAAAAAGAGAGAGATTGTCATATTCTCAGGCAGTCAAGCAGCCATCAAAGCGCTGAGCTTACCAATAATCAGCTCCAGAAGGGTTTGGGAATGTCTGGACAAGTTAAACAAAATGGGCAAAAATAACAAACTATTCCTCCAGTGGATACCAGAACACGCAGGAATCGCAGGTTATGAGATAGCTGACCAATTGGCGAAATTGGGAGCACAACCTCTGCTTTCAGGACCAGAACCTTTCTGTGCCATAGGGACACACATCTTTAAGGAAGCGTTCAGAAAGGAAGAGGGGGCCAAATGGATCAGCCTCTGAGAACAGCTTCCAGGGTCAAGGTAATCAAAAATGTTTCTTGGGCTCCCTCACCCAGGGAGATCAAAAGTTCTTATATCAGTGAGTAAAATCAATCTTCGCATTCTCACAGGATTCTTTAGAGGCCACTGCCGGTTAAGAGGGCACCTTGAGAGAATTAAAATCGAAAACGAAGACAGCTGCCGGTTCTGTGAGGAAGGGAAACTCCAGGCGATCGTGTACAAACGAATTGCCTGCTTCGGATACTGCACCGTTGGAAGGGAAGAAATTTTATCCATAGAACCGTGCAGCTTACTTGCGTTGATAACAGATTTAAAGCTGGATAAATTGCTCTGAGAGAGAATCGTAATAAGTGAAACACCCAGAAGGGTAACACAATAGATCTATGCAGGTCGCAGTATGATAATTGATTCATTTATCCATCCATGCCTTGATGTTCTGGTATCCACATCAGGATTACTTCGTTCCTCGCAGTCAATTTATTGAGGATCTTTTTGGCTTCTCAACTAGCTGCAATATGCACTTGATAGCTCATAGAGATTTTAGAACCGTAGTAGGCACTTACATAATTTAAGCAACATGAAACCGTGTGAATAGGTGATGAAATTGAAAATGTCACGACAGCGTGAAGTAAACTAGGTCCTGGATCATACATTTTGCCATAATTTTTAAATTTTAAAAACTTTATCACTAACGAATTATTTTTTTCAGGCAGTTCTGTTGAAGGTTGGGCACCAGCAGCCTATTTAGAAAGCCTTAGTCGTAAAGCTTTTAAAGGCAGTAGCAGAAGTCAGGATACGTTAAATGAGCAGTAGTGATCAGTCAATTAAAGACATTTTTTGTGTATAGGTATAGTGATATTTTATTTGTTTTTTATCTCATAAGGTTTATTTATTTTTTACGTTGCGCGCATAGATAGTCATAACCGTATACTTATAGCTGTTTTTTAGTGTCAATAATGTTTTTTTTTTTGTGGGAGAGTTCTTCAAATATCAGCTTACATAAAAATGATATATTTGCCATTTAATATATCTTTTTGCCTTTAATGTAGTGAATAATCCCTATACAATTAATACTATGTTTGAAGATTTCTAACAAATGCTCTACTTATTAATTAAAGTTTGTAAGTCTTGTTAATAATTGTACTGTTATGTTACATTTTTCTTTGTGAAAAATTAAATGGTTTTTAAGGTGAAATATTTTAAAAAGCACATATCCAAACACGAAATTATTTTCAATCGAAAATAATTGGCTGACCAGGTCAGATGTAGTTTTCAGTATTCCTATTTTAATCATTTTTGTGTGTTAAGTAGGTAGATATAGATTTTCGTAAACAGGAAAATCACTTCAATATGTACTAAAAAATTCTGTCAATGGGGTACTTGCATGAAAAATTGAATTGATAGCTGTCTAAGGTGATTTATCCTATTTAAGATTATCTGTACCTACAAAATATAATTTATAATTTAGAGTACCTATTATTGATTTGATGCTATTTATTGAAATAATGGATCTGTTAAGGCCCAAATTAAATCGCCAATCCGAATTGAAATAAACTCTACATTTTCCTAGTGACACTGTGCCTTTTGAAACGCCAAATTTAGTACAAAAAGTTGTTTGTTTCGCTGGTTATAGTAGTTTTCGTTCTCTTTATTTCACATAGGTTTTGGCTTGAAATATTTAAACCCTACACTTTAGTGAGATACGGTGGTTGAGCTGAATTTGAGCACCTTATTTCATGGGTAAGGAGGCTTAAATCGGCCGTAACTGATCGTATTTTGCCCCATCCCGACGGAGTGAAATTTTGTTTATCAATGTATCTGAATATATTTTTGGCAGGTTTTGGACAGTTCCTAAATTTGCTAATTCAGAACACTGGGTTAATATGAAACTCAAACACGATAATCGCCAATAAATAAATATTCCATCATATTCTTCGGCAATAAAATTTTAATAAATATTTATTCGCTTTCATCATTATTGAAGGCTAGCTACCTATTTTTATTGGTATATAAAACACTGTATAGGTATACGTATTACGTATAGAGTGTCCAGAAGAGGTTGAATTTTATTTCCTTATTGGGAAATACATAAATTATTTAAAGGGTTCGTATTTTACTAAAAATATGAAAGACGTGTCCTCCTTGGGTTTTTGTTCAAGTTTTTCATGACATTTTGACAAATATTGGAATCTTTTAAGGCGCGTACAGATACATCGAACGAAGGTGAACGAATTCGACAAATTCGCAAGAATTTTTTCGGCGACGATAAAATATTCGCTTTCTTGTCCACATTGAACAAACGAACGCAAACAAATTTTTTCGTTGCTGTTCATTTATTTTCGCCGCAGCCGTGAAAATTCAACGAATAATTTTCCGTACAACTGTAAATACGTACACACTATAAATAGACCGAATTCTGTGGTGATTAGTTAAAAGGTCTTAAGTACATTTTGTCGATGTCTGGGAAAATGACGTTGAAATTTTGACACTTTTTGACAAGGTCCTGCACTAATTAAATTTTGATTTCATAAATTAAGGAGAAAAATATAGTTTCAGTTTATATTAGAGGTAATGTGATGAAATAAATTTTAGGCATCAAAAACAAGCAGATAATTAAAAAAGTCGTAAGTTAAATCCTTCTTATCAACTAATATTACAAAAAACTATTTAGTAAAAAACGCATATGTCTACATGTTATTTATAAAAATACCTGCCCACATAACAGTGAAAGAACATTCATATTCTCAGAATATTCCCTCAAAGTGCTTTTTGGAATGTTCTTTTAGGAATGTTTATTGAATATTTTAAGATTGTTTCGATTGAAATATTCATTTTTGAACGTTCTATTTATGTACTAGGAATATTGCTTCTATGCACCTACCTGAAAGATTGTGCTAAGAACCTACTTCATATAACAATCTTTGAATATTGTCATACGAACATTATTATAATGTACCCTAAAAAATGTTCTTTCGGCTAATATCTCTATCAAGTATTAGGAATATACCTACCAAGTTGTGCTGAGAAGTTTATGTAGGTAGGTAACCATGATAAGAATATTTTCATATTGTTCACCTAATTATCTGAAGTACCTACTCAAAAATCATAATTTAACAATTAAACAATAATGCTCTATCTAGAACCTACTAAGAATATTATAGGTATATTCTTTTCCTTTTGCCTTGTAGGACTTCCAAGAGAGGGAGCCACGCGCTATTAAAGATCTACATTAAGGTAAGCCTCGCGTTTGAATCACCTTGGAACCTGTTTCTCTCAGTTGGCGTGCTTCGACGAGAGCATAACAAGCTCGAAACCGGAGCTTTGGTTAAATACTTGTGTTTTCCAGAAAAGTTTTCCAACAACTCTTTCACTGCCTTTAATATAAAAGGGCTGAAAGGAGCATTATTTGGAAGCGAAAATTAACATTCCAAGTATATCCTTAGAATCAACCAAGAATGTTATGTCTAGAATGCATATTGAGAATGATAAATGTAGATATATTCTAAGAATATTTCAAGCATATTGGTATAATATTCTTTTAAGAACATAACTATAATTTCATAGAAACATTCTTTGAATTTGAGAATACCTATACATATCGAGCATATTTTTAGAATCAAACAGGAATATTCTTTTCAGGATGTACTGAGAATCTCATAGATATATTCTAGGAATATCCTAATGGATTTCTCAGGAAGTTCTTGGGTATTGCAAACAGTATTTCTACAATCTTTTCTCAGAACATTCTCAGAACATTCTCAGGACATTCGCAATGGTTTTGGCGAACATTCTAGGCACATTCCTCCTAAAAAAAGAATATTCTTAATACATTCTAAGGATGCAATTTTGTTATGTGGGTGGAATGCAGTAAAAATGAAATAAGTTTACTTATTTCCATAGAATAGACTGCAGGCTGCCCACTAAAAAAGGCATAAGTCGACAAATTTCTATAAAAAATTACCTACTTTGTTGTCTGGTAATAATGAAATAAGTTAACATATTCCACCAATAGGTACATTCTTCTAATAAAACCTCTTTGATATTTTTTCCATTTTTATTTTGGAAATTATTTTATATGAACAAATCTTTTAAGCAGTAATAAAAAATAAGCATCTTGTGGCTGTATTACATTGCAGCTAGCCAAAGTAATTATTTAATTTGAATCTTCATCAGAAAAATATCTGTCAATATCTGGGTCAGTGTCTTTCTCTATTTTTTTGTCTGTTTTAAGCTCCTTATAAAAATGTTGGACGTCTTTATCTAATAATTCCACAATCTCTAAAAGATTTTGTTTTTTTTGGTGACTTATAGTCTTAGGACCATCGCACAAAGGAGTAAGAACAAAGTCCTTCAAAGCATTAATTTTCTGGCCCTTTCTAAAAAACGTAATTTCTTTGAATGGTTCCTCTTCCTGTAAAGTGTTTTTGAAATTGACTATGCCAGTATTATTTTTTTTGTATCTTAACCAGTTCGCATTTCTCAACTTAAAGTCTGCTTTCTTTTGCAGAGGTCCTTTGGCATGAATACTTGAGAAAAGAAAAAAATGTTCGTTTTCCATAGGATAAACTGTAAATTTTCCTTCCTTGCTAGCATTTCTTACAAGTTGGTACCAATCTTGCACGTGAATTTCCATAGAGGATTCTTTTTGGCTCTTTCGATCACAGAATGATCTACGTCGCACTCTAAATGCGTGTGACCTGGAACCAAGAACTTATGATCTATTATTTCGAGGGTGCTATGCGATAAAATTGCATGAACATAGACACAACAATCATATTTTTGTTTTGCCCACCACACGTATCAGAATAAAACACAACGTGTTTTACTCCATCCGGAATTATTTTTAGAAAGCGGAAAAGGCAGGAAGATATTTCATTTGCACCTCTGCCAGCGGTACATTCTGGCCACATAAAGTGACTGGAATTTCCATTGAAGCTGTTGTGTATTGTCAAGTTGTAAGTTGACAGTTGCCTCAAATAAAACATTTTGTTTGTTGTAAGATACGGGGTCGGCAGAACCTGTTGAAGATCAAAAGAGTAAGTGATAAAATTTTGATTTTGCTTACTTTTTTCTTTATCTTTTGACTTAGCCTTATAAGCATCATCAGCAGATTTTTGATGAGACTCTAACTCTTGACAGATTTTGCTTTTTGTTTCTGTATCCGTCTCATGCTTTTCACGAGCATGTAGTGTGTCACATTTCGTACATGTGTCGTTTTTAGGCATCTTAAATTTAAGATCAAAACTATGAAAGATTCGGGAATATATGTTCATTGATACAGGCTTGTTGGGATATTTCTCACAATATAACTTGTACATAGTTGCAATATTTAAGTTTGAAGGTAAGTATTTTTTATCAGTGTGTCTATTTCAGAATGAAGTTCTTCTATAATAAAAAAATCTTCTGTATTTTTCTTAATGTTTTCTTGATCTATTCCAGAATCAAGTTCTAGAATAAGAAGATCTTCTTTATTCTTATTAATATTTCCTTGATCTATTTCAGAATGAAGTCCATCCATAATAACCGGTTGAATGTCATCAATCAGTATATTTTCAGAAAAATTTGGCTTCTCTTTACCAATTTTACTTTCTGCCTGGTATTCATCAAAAATATTATTTTCAATTTCCTGAATTTCAGCTTCTGTTTGAATTATATCCTGTTGCTGTTCTTCCATGTTTTGATTCTCTAAGTCAATAATTATAGGTTGTGCAGTTAGGTCGTTTCTACCTATTTCTGCATTATTAACCAAGTTGCTTTGGGTTTCTCGTATTTCATTTTCTTGCTCTTCGTTTGTTTGAAAACTTGTTTGTTCAACGTTTTTATGTCTGTCCTCACAATAGCTTGATGAATTCCTCCTAATACCAATACCTGAAATAAAAATCGTCGAAAACTGCTATACTAGGAAATCACACACCCAACGTTACCCTCTTCCAGTTCTTTTATTCCAAAGTTAAGTATGTCATTAGAAGAGCTGTTGAATAATGTGCTGCATTCAAAGGCCACAGATTGTAGTTGGGATGATGTTTCATTATTTTCATTATAATTTGATAACCTCGCTTTTTTAGCTAAAGATAAAAATAATAAACTAAGTTAATTTTGTTATGTTGTTGCAATATTGTTAAAGATGGATCCATTCAAAGATTGAGACCATGCGCTAAAGAACATTATTCTTTTCAAGGACACCATTCATCATACATACAAAAAATATACTAAATTCATGTTGGAAATAGTCTACCAAAACATATCGAAATAATAAGTAAATAATTTCAATTACCTTTACATTCATTTTCATTCACAAAATTAGTCTCATGTGAATTTCCATATGAACTACACGGTTTTGTTTCCAAACCTGTACTCTGGGTATCTTCTGATGATGGGAGATTTCTGCAGGCTGCTAAAATTCTTGCAGTTCTTCCACCTCTACACCTTACCATTTTAGATACTTTTTCAGAATATAAAAAGTAAAAAAAATACAAAAATCAAGAGCTGAGCTAACGAAGTTGCCGATACGCTCGCGATTGGCGTAATGATTGATAGGTTATTGGTAAACTTCTTCTGTCAAAATATTTGGCGGGATTATTGTACTAATTCAATTAAATTGGTATAAGTATACATAGGTATTCAAATCGTACTAAAACATTTTCAATTGATTAAAAAGTCATATGTATACATGAGTTTTAATTTTTCAATAAAGTTTTGACATAAGTGCACATATTCCTTTTTAATCAGTCAGTCTCAATAAAAAGGGAATATGTAGACTTATGTCAAAACTCTATTTAAAAAATGGAACTCATGTATACATATGACTTTTTTATTGTTGGTATGATATAATGTTTGGGTTGGTTGGTCATTATAAGTTTATTTAAGACTTTTTAACTGAATCATATCAGAAATTTTAAGACAGAGAACGATTTTTGACCCAAATTTTATAAGGTTTTTAGGACAAGTTCACTTATTTCCTTTTAATCGTTCGAATCTAGAATAAATATGCATTACCAATAACTCAAAACAGCCAAAAAGTGACTTATGACCTTTTAACTAATTACCACAGGAATGAATTCGGCCGAATTTTACCGCATTGTAAGCAAACCCTTGCGAAGGCGAACGAATGCATTCGATAGCGTTTGTTAGTATGTACACACTAAATGTTCTTCCGCCTTCGTTCGCTGTATCTGTACGCGCCTTTAGGCTAATTAGCTTAAAATTCGCTTCTCAAATCGTTCAAGAAAAAACCTAAATCTCCCGATTTCGACAGGCTTGATGTTACCAAATGGAGTAACTGCATGAGAATAACGACCTTTGATTTTTGATTATAGTTTAGAGTAATTGTATGTTATCGTGTTTCAATACCGACCACGCAGGGCTGTAATATCATTACCAGCGTCATCTTGACAGCAGAAACTGCAGAACTGTCGGATCATTTCGTTATACCAAACAGTAAGTTCCTGAGGGTGGATTGGTTTCTCAATAATTATTTCATCGGGATTTTCATGGCTCATTGAAAAATACAACTGCTTTTCGATTCAGCATCCAACAAGCAGAACTATCCTGAAAAAGGTCTTTAGGATTTAGTTCCTGGAATATTCCTGATTGTTTAGTCGAGTAAATACAAGTCTATCTAAAATCGAAGAATATAAAGACTTTCTCGGTCGGCAAATCTGAAAACGTTTCTCTCGTTTCGACTACTGCTATGCGGTAGACATCGAGCCTCCGGATTCTATTTTACGAGTCGAATCGAAATTCGTATCGAATTGCCAAAATAGCGATTCTATTTTTCGATTTTTCGATTTCTTACTCGATATCGAGTGTCATAATGCAATCCGACTCGACTCGTAAAATAGAATGGGCTCTTTCACTAATTTTTGAAATTGGCATATTTGGATAAAGCAACTAAAAACAGAATTTTCTGTATTTTTACTTTTGAAAAATTCATAGTCTTTCTTGAGAAAACAGAAAAATAATAAATACCTCCAAATAAAAACCCAGAATTTATTTCTATGACGTCGCAGCTCGCAATTTGGCCGTGTTGCCACTAATTGTCAACATTGAAAATTTGTAATAGATTTAATTCTGAAATGTTGGAAAAATATCATAAAAAGTAGTTCAATTAATTAATTATGGATTCAAGATTTTATAACATTTTTTTTGAAATTATGCTTAAATACAATTTAATACAATTTTTTATGTTTCGTTTTATTTTATTTTTTTACGCTGCACTACATTCAGTCACAACCGACAACAGCGCATTCGAACCTTTACGTATACTTGCTGTACTTTTACAGAGCGCAACGCAGCCGAGCCGGTCAGCTTCTTGCAACAACATGAGCGAAATGGAAAATATTTATGTGACGTCAGCGAATCGGCGCGTTTTAAATCAGTTTGAATTTGGCAATTTTCAAATGCCTGTAAAAAACTTATTTAACCTTGTAGAACATTTTTTTTTGGTATATATGCCTAAAATAGTCCCTCCTTTGGGATTTTATACTTAAATTACGTATTTAAATTTTAGTGAAAGAGCCCATTCCGCTGCTGTAGAGGCGGTGTGGTCTGGCGCTAATTGCAGACTGCTATCGAATTTATTAGCTCTTTTCAGTGCAGTATAAGCGAAAGCATACTAACCCAGAGAAACAGGAGATGCATACGATAAGAATGGTATAAACCTTTAATAGGGTGTGGCTCCATCTCTTCGAAGCAAAAACCAAAAACAACCCGTTTGGAGTTGAACACTTATGTTTTTCCGAAGAAAAACTTCAACTTCTTTGGTCAAATTCCACAGCTGCCAAGAAAAATTTAGGGTGTAAATATTTCAATCTAAACCTTGGAAATGTTTGGCAATATATTCACAGCCCTGCCATTAAGCAATATGTTTAGCAAGCCTAGCAGCCAAATTTTGATTTAGTATTGGAAGAATTGTAAATTATCCCAAATTCCTACCTACAAAATGGTGAATATAGGTATGTATAGAAACACCATTACTTATGTCATTACTGCGACCCAGTATTGTAGTATTTAGAAACAAAACACCAATAGTTAAGTAGGTATAAAACCCAAATCGAATCCTGAAATAGCAATAATAATGCAAGCTAGTTTATTATTTATTTAAAAGGCTATAAGCGGTTGTATATAACATAATAATTATCTAATATTTGTATCTATTAGGGTCAGTAAGAATATGCGCAGAGGATTTGATATGAAATGTCAGTATTTATTTCGAACCAGTCTAATTTACGATTTGTGCTCAAAATTATAAGAAAAAGTGACCATCGATCGACAATTCAACATTTGACAAGCTCAATTTGAATTACTTTTCATTACTTCTAATGTAAAAGGACAGCATTGTAGAAAAGGGAACTTGCTAATATATTATTTATTATCAGTAATTTATCCTTTTTTTAATATTTTTACATTTTTATTGAATCGGCTGTTACAAGGTGGAAATTCATTATCTAGTAAAAGATTTTTTTAAAGTAAATTAATATACTTATTTATTTCCACTCATTTTTGTTAAACTTTAACATGTTTCGCTACACTGTAGCTTCATCAGAAAGATGTAGACATAAAAGTGAAATTGTCAAATATAAATAAGGTAAAAGCTGGTCTAATTTTACGTTAATCTAGAAAGGTATTATACAATAAATAAATTTAAAAGTGGTGAATTGTTTAAATCTAATTGGTCATTCAGTAAACAGTCTAAATTTTTAAGTTTGTTTATTTCTAGAGATTCTAGAAGATTTAATTTTATCCCTTTGTTTTCATTATGTAAAATTTGAAATTCATTATTAAAATTATGATTAGATTCTATTAGATGATTTGCATAATTTGAGTCTGTTTTCTTTTTATTGAAACTATTATAATGTTCTTTAATTCTAGTACCAAAATTTCTACCTGTTTGTCCTATATATACTTTGGGACAATCTTTACAAGATAATTTATAAACTCCATAAATCTAAAACTAAAATATGTGATAAATCTGGAGTTTATAAATTATCTTGTAAAGATTGTCCCAAAGTATATATAGGACAAACAGGTAGAAATTTTGGTACTATAGAATTAAAGAACATTAGACCAATTAGATTTAAACAATTCACCACTTTTAAATTTATTTATTGTATAATACCTTTTTAGATTAACGTAAAATTAGACCAGCTTTTACCTTATTTTTATTTGACAATTTCACTTTTATGTCTACATCTTTCTGATGAAGCTACAGTGTAGCGAAACATGTTAAAGTTTAACAAAAATTAGTGGAAATAAATAAGTATACCTATTAATTTACTTTAAAAAAATCTTTTACTTAATATTTTTACCCTTTCAAAGTCTCAATCCAACACGGAACTTCCCGGAAAGTATAGAAATCCCAACAGAAGGTTATCAAAGTGAAGCTCCGTGTATGCTGCGAACCGTATTTGTTATTCTATTTTATTTTTTCGAAGATAAATAAAGAAAATTCGAAAATTGTATGAAAAGCGCGCACGTTAGTATGATGCGCATAGTAGTAGTAGGGGAGACCGGGGATTTTTGTTAGGTTCGCCTATTTTTACCTACGTACGAATTCTACGTTGTGGTTTGATGTAACAAATTTTGTAACGTTTCACAGCTTACCTCATGCTGTAATAATATATTATTTAATAAGCTGGTAATGATCGCTATTACTCACGAGAATGAAGTTTGCACTATGAGCCGCATCCAAGGGAGTAATAGCCATTACCCGCGTGTTCAATACCATACATTTTCTATGATTAATAAATAATAGAAACGAGTTATGTGATATTTTATTTCATTTTCGTTCTTGTCCAAATGTTAACAACTTGCCGAATTTTCTGATTGGCTCTATAAGTAGACAACCACGCGACTCTCACACGTTTTATGAGAGAATATGCCAAAGACAATGTGGTGGTATTTGTGTTTTTCCTCCCCAATTTTCCTACTGTCTGCAACCACTCGGTAGGCCTTTAAACAAATATATGTCTTCTTAACGTGATTTTTTTTCTCTCTCAGGCCTGTCCGACGTATTGTCCCGATGTAGCACTGAAGCATGAGAAGGCTTATTGTGCTTAACCTGTGCTTTATTCCAACCACTGTAGTATTTTGGTGCCCTGTACAAGGTTGTGCAGGTCTTTTACTAATTACTGGGTGGTGTTTCATTATTGTTTCCGGGACTACGTTTGATTGCCCGAAAATGCTATGTTTTCTGCGATCCAGTACCTTGCAGTGTGACAGGATGTGTTTGGCTGTCTCGGGTTCCTTATTGTAGAGTCTGCAGTTAAAGGGGGTGTGACCCAAAAAAACGACTTAAGCTACTTAAATGAAGAAAAAAATTCTAAGATCTCTCGTGAAAACCGCAGTCCTATATTCAAAATAGTTTCCGAGAAAACGCCTTGTGAAGATAAATTATGCAGGAATTTGTGATGTCACAACTGCCGAAATCGCTGTCTTCTGTTCGTTTAGTCGTCAGTGAACCGTACCCTATATTTTGAGTGGTTGCAATTTGCTGTAAGAGATAATTGTCTTTTGTTTTGGAAGATTTTTACACGTGTTAATACTGTCCCTGATAATCCAGCGTGACGTCACAAAAGCCTAGTTGTAACTTTAAACGGCCCTAACTCCAAAACGGACCATCGTAGCAATATGAGGTTTAAATATTTATTCTTCGATTTTTTTGCACTAAAACTTTCATTTTTAGGTCACACCCCCTCTAAGGTTTCCGTCATACAGGTTCATCCTGTTCAGGTGGACCTTTACCGGTTGTGGCCTGTCATAAGGCCCGTTATAGTCCTTAGTCGCCTCCTACTCATTTGTAGCAGTTCTGCGGCCCTTTTTCTGCATGATTGGTCGATGAACTCCCTACCATAATTCTGCCTGGAAGTTGTCCAGTAGTGTCGATGTTCTTTACTAGCCCGGTCTTTGATGTAGCTTCTGGTCATACTTTTTGGTACCCCTGAAGCCGGCTCTGGCCCGATAAGTTTTGTCTCTGATCCTCTCTTTGCGAGTTTGTCAGCTTTTTCGTTGCCTTCGATTTCCCTGTGTCCTGGCACCCAGATAAGTTTTATTTTATTTTGGCACGCCAGGGCTCTGAGTTCTTCCTGGCAATCCCATACTAGTCTTGATAACAGCGTCTGGCTCGACCAGCCTTCAGTGCCGCTCTTCTATTAAGCTCCATTTATAAACTCGCCGTCGGGATTCCGTTTTCGTCTGTATTTGCGTCGGCCTCGCTGGTTACCGTGGTCTCTTATGCTGACGGTGAACTGTGAGACGGACGGCGAGTGTAAATGATTTTATGGCATTTCTAATATTCAATTGGCCCGACGCAAACGCAAACGGAATCTCGACGGTGAGTTTATAAATTGGGCTTTATTCTCTGCTGCGCACTGGAGTATAGCATAGACATCTGCATGAAAAACAGAGGCATGCTCCCCTAGTGCATAGTGATTGCTGTAGCTGGCGGAGTATACCCCTGCCCCGGTACCAGCCAGAGTCTTTGACCCGTCCGTGTACCAGGTCCGGTCCTGCTTTTTGGTTTCCGGTATGCCCTGTTCCCATTCAGTTCTGCTTGGGAAGCTGACGTCGAACAGTCTGTTGAGGCAATAGAGAGTTATTGGAACTATTAAATACTGCCTCGCAGTATTAAGGATCTACGTTATTTTATTAGTGCATCAGCACTATTTTTCCAAGATAAAAACAGTTATTGGAAGACTGTAGTAGGTGCTAGAGTATTACCTTATTTTGTATTCATAATTTTGACAGATGATAGCTATGTTTATAAATTTCAGCCTCCAAAAGTGTTTATTTTTGTTTGTGATTTTCTGCTGATACTCATTTTTTGATGTTACCCACAGTAAAATGGAAAACTATTGTAAAAAATAAATTTTCTAAGTAAAACTATGTCATCGTCGAAAAGCAAAACGTGAAAGTCGTCCAAAATGTCAGAAATTTGAAATAAGGGACGTTTACTGCCTCGCAACCATATACAAATAAAGACAAGCAGTAACCTTATTAAAGGAATCCTTATTTTCGGAGCCAAATGCGCATGCGTAGATGTCAAAATAAGGCTAATTCGAATACTGCTTGTCCTTATTGCACGTCCAATAACTCTCTAATGTCGCCTTGGCATGTGGTCTGTCTTCATTTTGAAGTTCTTCACAAGTTCTGCGATTGCCATGTGTCCCGTCTTTTTGTTGACGGCGGTTGTCGGTTGTGTACAGACTACGGCTCCCATTCTTGCCTTCCCCCATATCACAATGTGCAGAGGTGTGAGTTCTAAGAGGCTTTCCATGGCTGCTGTTTGTGTGGACTCCATTGCTCCCTTTATTCCTGAGCAGGCCAGTCTTTGCACTTTGCTAAGATGGCGCATTGCACTTCCCTGCTATGTATTTGGCCACCACACTAGAAAGGCGTATGTCAAGATGGATTTGACCATTTTGCTGTATGTCCAGAAAGCTCCATAATTTTCCATGCAGGCGTCTAGCTATCATGAGCGATGCTATCGTTTTTTTGGTGGTGTTTTTCACATGCTGATTGCAGGTAAGTTTTGAGTCCAGTGTTACCCCCAGGTACCTGACCTCGCTCGAAATCTGTTTGTTTTCCCCCTTTATTCTACGTGGTCCCAGGTCTTGTATTTTATGCCTTCGGGTAAATGCCACGATGGTGAATTTGTTGGGACTAATATTTAACCCTTTTTTATCCACCCATCTTGTTGTTCGATCTAGAGCGTCTTGCATTCGCTCCCTAACTGTAGAGTTGAACATGATACTTGGATGCTAAATAAATAATCCGGCTAAATCAATGATCATTTACGACATAACCGGCCTAGAATATAGTATAGAACCTTTCAACAGAAACATATTCATGGAAGATTTTTTATCGGCAAATTCGCCTTAACCAGTCATCTTCTTCTGTTGGAACTCTTCAACCACTGCCAATAGAACCTGGGATGAACCTAGCAACTACGGTAGCTGCTGGTTATTTAGATCGACTCTTTTTTTATCAGGCAAATACTGCTCCTTATTTTGGTTTCTGACTTAAAGAATTTTACTAATTTGACCTCTGGACACGATGATTTTTCTTCAAAGTTACCATATCACTTTTTTCCTGCAGCAGTTAGACCAGTTCCACAAGCTGCACCTGAAAAACAAAGAGCTTAAGGTCAGAGAAAAAAAAATCTGCGGTTCTAACTGATACACCTGAACTAGAGGCTTTAGAATGCGAAGCTGCCACAAGACCTTCAAAAGTAGGTCAAATGCACACATTCTACTCATATCTTCAGATTACACGTGCTACTGCGAGTCTGATAGTGGATAAATGATAGTCAGAACATTGCAAATCGCAAATAGAAGTTTTTTTTACAGAGTTTTATCAGTTATTTATTTTTTTTCTGTATCCGTCCACTATAGATTTGTAGGTATATTTTTATTGAATCAGTTTTTTATTTAAATTTTCTTACTAAACTTTATTTACTTCCTTACTTTAATTTTTTTTATCAAACCAGTAATAATGCAGTTCTCTATGTTGTTATCATAGAACATTCTCTTATCAGATTTTGTGTGCCGATTACGCATTAGATACAATTTACAATTTACCCCATGAACCGGATAAATGCCAAGCTTCATAATTTCTTGAACCAACCAAACAGTTTTAACTATATTTAGAAACAAGGCATCGGCTAACTTCAACAATAATTGTTTACACTGCACAATAAAATATAAACAGTAGAAATTTTGGAAAAAATAAATGAAAAAGTATGAAAATCGTAAAAATGTCACAACCTACCCCGGTCTCTCCTACTTATAAGTAATTTAATACAACTTGCCAAGGTCGGCGACTCAAAGTCTGTAATCTTATATTAGCCAAATATATCTATCTATATTCTATTCAGTTTTTACTGTTTCAGCAATAGGAAAGCAGAGGCTTTAATAATCTAAAATTAACTTGAATAATATGGGTTTGTGGTTTGTTGTGACGCAGTTGTTTGTGTTTAGATGTTGAAACTTTGTGTAACAATAATTATAACTAAAACTAAATGCCGGAAAAGGTTTTTCCATGACCTACGCAACAGAAATAGGGTGATCTGAGCTTTGTTCCAATCACAGCAGGAAACTGTATAATTTACGTCACGATTAGGTATTCAGGAGTGGTTTCGAAAACCATTATGGGACAATGGGACGATTTTCGACTTTTTGAAACAGACTTATGTAGGTAGTCTGGACTCGTAGATAATTTTATTGTTAATGCAATCTTTCCTAAAATAACAATTTTATGTTTTTGATTAACATATTGACCATGTCAAACGGGTTATCCCAATCTCTAATTACTTTAATTAAATATTAAATATATGAACAACAGGAAAAACCAGGATAAGGTTTGATAAAAATTTGATAAATGAGCCATATGATTCATAACTTAAGTATATTTATATCAAACCAAACGGTGTGGTAACATAAAGAAGATATCAATAATTACATATTTCAAATTTGCCTCTTATTTCAGAAATATCAGGTGGCAGTTCCTAATAACCCAGAAAAATGAGTTCTGTTTACGTACGACTACAAAAATATGAATTTAGCCCAGGAAATATTATATCCGGGGAAGCTATATGTTATTTTAAATCACCAAAAGAATTCAGAAGTAAGTATAAGAACTTATTTCATCACCAGTAACGAAAGCATGAACGCCATTAAGGACTAAAATTCATAAACTCATTGCTTAGAGCGCATCATTTTTTCCTGATATCAAATCATGAATAGTAACAAATAGGTAGGTACTGACAATTCGAACATGACACTAGCAAAGCATATTATTATGACGTACGCTTTCCTAATTTTGGAGAAGTTGGATATTCTTAGAGGGTAGGTATGCAAGCAATAATTTAACCACAAAATTAGCGGATTTCCATACCACCTTAAACGACTTCTTGATCAAGAAAAGTCTATATACTTGACCCCAACTGCAGCTTCACTTTAATGAAAAATCAGTCCATTACCACAGCTTCATTACTGCCAGTGCCATTGCTTTAAGGTACAATTTTGTTGCCTATTTAAGTCCCAAATTTCTAGAGATAAGGATACGACTACAAGGCCGGGAGCATACTAGCTGGACAAAACAAGAGACTTATTATGACAGTTCACAGAAAAAACATAATTCTAGAACTGTTCATTACAGTGGAGATAATACATTTCTTGAGCAGGATGATATAGTACGTGACCAAGGTGATCCGTTCATAAGAAACTATAAAGAGATTTTGAATCGTGAATTTAATTTTTTCTAGATACACTTTTAAGTGGCGAGCATGTATTTCCAATAAGCTTTCAACTACCTGATGATATACCTAGCAGCTTCCAATGTCGATATGGATACATTGCTTATACTATAAAATTGACAGTTGATATACCATTCAAATTTGACCTAGAAGACACAAAAGATATCAAAATCGTTGCACCTGTAAAGTTGCATGATATTGCACTAAAAATGATAGTGAGAATGAATTTTTATGTGAATAATTGTGTCAGTGAAATATTCCTCCTATATTTTAGAGAGGTTGTGAGTTGGAAGATGAAAAAACAATATGCTGTTGGTGCTGTGCAGGCGGTAATATGGAAATGCAAGTTAGTTTACCATGCAAAGCATTTGCCGTAGGCTATCCAGGATTTGTTAAAGTGTATATTTTAAACATGTCCAATGTTAATGTGGACGACCTGACTGTGAATATAGGCCAGGTAGGTTCATGATAAAATGATATAATAAGTGGATATTTATTTTGATATAAATATACAGGTACTCAGATTCAAAGCAACTGATCCAGGTAGCGATTATAAGTACGATTCTGAGAAAATTGCTGTGTCCCATAATAGTGGCGTTGGTGCTCATGCTGATAAAACCTACAATCTTGAATTGAAAATACCAAGTTCTTCTGTAGTTCCAAATTTTACAAGATGCCAGTTATTTCGATGTGAACACGAACTTAAAGTAACTCCTCTGATGTACTAGGATAAACTTTTTCCAAAACTATAATACCCATATCATTCTAGGTTACCGCGGGTATATCTGGCTGCCACAAAAATTTAGAAGTTTCCACAGATGTAGCCGCTTGTCATGAACATCCCAATATGCACCCACTCCATCAAGAACATCAAACACAATCAAACGCAATGCAAAATAAGAAAAGTTCTTCTTGGGAAACGATAGGAGCGGAAGAATATGCTGGAGAGGCACCTCTCATTAGTCAACCAATGCCTATGTCTATGCCCATGTGCCCTGAGTCAGGACCAATGCTAATGCCCATGCCGGGTCATGCTAATCCAGCACCGAATTTTGGTTTTTTTAATCCATCCGCACCTCCACCACCTAATGCTCCTTCTGCTCCTCCAAAAATAGATTTTGGAGATAACTCTCGTAAGGATTTTTCATTTGCATTACAAACGGTACTTAAGAGCGGGGTACACTTTGCCTTTCTTAGATTATCAGACGTATCCGTTTCCACAAATAGTTAGGAAAACTATCAAAATTTAATAGAATCAAATTAAAACATTCTTACTTCTTTTCTTGAGCAACAAGCCAGGGTAGCAGTAGCACAAAAGTCACAAGGGGGACTAGTTTCAAGCCTTCCCACAGCACAATAGTCAATATAGGGGCTTGAAATTAGTTCACACATAATTAAAAACATTTCTTTTGTTGCAGGTATAGGACAGCCTTCAATTATTGAACCCCGTAAGTATTTATGATGAATATAAGTCACATATTTCACAAATAAGAAACAATAATCATCGGAAACTTAATATTTTTCAGCACCTTCTTATGACGAACTTGCCAGACAACATGTCCTTCAAATGCGTCAAAATTGATCCCTAAACAATTATTCACATCTAAAATTTTGACTGAAAGTGGAATAGTTTTGACATTTAGTTTTATGTAAAGACATTAAATAGGTATTATGAATGAATCAACATTTCTTTAAACGGGCTAGAAGGGAGACTCTTATTGTGAATGGGATGGTAGACGAGCAAAACTTCATTTAATTTAGGAAACGCTTTAATGCTTTATTATTAATATAAGCTTTGGCTTTGCACATTAAAATATTTTTATTATATATTATATTATGATTAGGTATAAAGTAGGAAAAATGAGACTGCACAAAATATGCCTACCTACTTCTACTTCTACCTATTACTATTTTATATATTATATTTATTGAATTGTGAGTTTTGACAATGTATACCCAATAAACATTTTTGTTTTTATAATATTTACCGTAAATGTTATATCACCTTCTTTATATAACTTAAGGTTTTATATCCATTTACCGAAATATTTCTGTTACTCCTATAGACCCTTTAAAGAGCTTAAATTGAGCGTTTATAAAGGTTTCGAAAACCTGTGTTTAGTATTGGTATATAACTTTAATTTATGTAACCATTGGTCACGGAAATATTGTGGTAACCACTATATAACTTTTGTCAATTCTGTCATCATTATAAATACATATTTTTTCTCTCTCAAATACATTGCTTTAAATGGTCTCCTACTATTCTATTCCCACAATTCTATTTCAAGATGTCTGTTACTAAAAAAAAACAAATATGGAGTCCAAATATTAATAATATTTACCTATTAGAAAACGATGGTACTTTGTTGTAATTTTACAGCATTGGTAGACTCAAAATATAGTTGGGAAACTTTTTCTACTGCAAAACTAGAACCGGTACTTCGAAAAAACGCAGGGGCCCTTCAAATATTCACTTTTTATTAATTTCAAATCAGTTTTCTCACAAAACATACACATATAAATATTAATTAAAATGAGACTTAAGAAGAAATTAATGTCATTTCCGTTTTGCATATGCCAGTATTAAACAATTATTGTATATTTTGCATCAAAATCAGCTTAATCTAGTGTTTTTGCAACGCATCTTTTTTATTATTATGATTTTGGTTAGAAAAATATGGCGGATCACTTTAGTAACAATATAAACTCTGGAAACTATATTATCACCTAAGGTTATATTTTATAACTATTAGTAACATTATGTACTTAACTTTTAACCAGATGCCGTCAGCGCCGGTATTGGCAATTTTGGTCTCAAAATAGTGTTATTGCTATTATAATCATCATGTTTATCAGTTCCCTCAAGTAATTTATTTTCTTGTCTACGAAATTGTGTTTAGTGTCCTCGTGGAAGATACTGAGGGCACTGAATTTGAGATTTTATTAAATTTTTTTGAAATTTTCCGGCGAAATGATGTACTGAACTTCATTTTTTTCAAAATCATTATGCACAGATTTCTTATAACAATAATAAACAACAACAGACACCTGATTATTGTCATATGTCAAATTAGGTAGTTTCGTTTTACTAAAGGTTTTATAAAAGAAATTATCGTTACCAAAAGTTTTATAACATATACTGCAAACACTACTAGTTTCCAGGTTCTATAAAGGTGATTGACAACACTTTTATATAACTAGGGGTATTCTAGTTATATAAATGAGGTAACGGTAACCTTTATAAAAATTTCTTATAAATACTTTAGTAACGGGTACTAAAAGTTTTATAAAATGGTGATGGAAATAGTTACATCACCTTATTATATACCTGTAAGTTATAGTAAACTTATAAATACTTTATAAAACTATGTTACCATAGGTTGCAGATTATAAAACTTGGAAACCTTCTTATATACCTTTGTTACTATTATATACCCATTATATAACTTGACGTTACTATAAGTTGCGAAAAATGTTTATTGGGTAAGTATAGAGTAACATTTTTGAAAAAGATTGTTCAATGAGTGTGTACAATATAAATATTATCTTATGCTAGCATATAGAATTTGTGTAGGTACATATAATTTGGAGCTTTTTGTTTTGTCTTTATTTGGCCACTAGATATCCAATGGAACTTTATATAACAAATAATTTTAGACGTAATCAGTAATGTGTTTTGTATTAAATTATATGCTATAATATTGTTGGAATGTACGTATAATGTTAGTTCGTATTGTTTCACCAATGGTACTGGTTGTTCACCATAGTTCTCCAAGAGGTGCAGTACCTAATATTTCTAGAAGTTGAAAATTTTTGAAAAACATGAGGGCTGCGGGCTGCTAACTTTACGCCGCACCCTTTATTTGATTTTAGTTCTTGATAAAATATATATTGGATTAGCCGACATTCTCAATAAGGCAGGCTTTCCAGAGTAATCGAAGGATGACATCGCTGAGCTAAAATTTACTGATCCCAAATCATTGATAACTTATATCGGTAAAGACAGTAGGTAAAGACAACGCAATCTGTTGAAACTATCGTTCTGTACCATCATCATCATAGGCGATCACTCGATCCCGAGCAAGATTATTTCCTAGAGTGGATGACAAAAGTGAGGTTTATCCATCCACTACTTCCAAACCAAGGACACGAATATCTAAACCATTATCTCCTATCCTTTTCTTATTGTGTGTTGTGATGGCTTTATGAACCAATTCTGGGAGAAGAATTGTCTGTTCCTCTGTTCTCTCGCTTCTTCTTGCGGCCCCTCGTCTCGTGTCTGCGTCGCTGGCCTTCAAAAGCTTGTGGTCCGTCGTGGACTAGTCGACGGCCTGTCATTTGCCGTCGTCTCGCAGTTGCTGGTATCGATGCTGCACTTTGCCATATTTTCCTCAAGAACATCTTTGTAGCGTTTTTGTTGACCTCCTGGATTTAATTTTCTCTCCTTCAGTTGACTGCAGAGAATCTGTCGTGGAAGACGTGTTTCGGGCATGCGGACGAGGTGACCTGTCCAGCAAAGTTAGTGCTTAATGATGAGGGATTCCATGCTAGTTGTTTTGGCCTCCTCTAGAACAGTAATGTTCGCTCGTCGGTCCTACCATTTTAACCGTATTTTTCTAGGCTTTCCATATGTCTTTCTGTAGGTGGTCCATATTTCGCAGCCATATGTAAGTCTTGGTATTACAACTGCATTGTAGACGTAAAGTTTGGTCTCAGCGCTGATGTCGTGAGTATCTAGTATCTCGTTGAAGACTCTCTCTAGGAGTCGTCTGAACGCCGCGCTAGCGATGTTGGATTTCAGCGTCAATGGTTGCATTCGCTGACAGATGGCTCCCAAGGTATGGGAATTGTTCTACGTTCTGCCAAGTTATGTCTGGAGCTTGGGGATCAGTGGCCGGTGCGGCTTGGTGCAGAATCTGAGTCTTGTGCAAGTTGACCTCTAGGCCGATTCTCCTGTATGCCTGGGTCGAATGCATTGATAATTGCCTGAAGATCTTCCTCTGTATTGCCCATCACGACGTTATCATTCGCATATTGAAGTTCAATTGTCGATGTCGTCGATACTCTCGCCTTGGCTCTTAATCTGTTTAGGTTGAATATGCCGCCATCAAGTCTGTACAGGATTTCCACTTGTGACGGCAGGTGACCCTTGACAAGCTAGGTGAACCATGGATACTTTAAATTGAGAAAATAAAGTGGGTGCAGTAATACAGAACACAGCCTTATTTAACGCATGTAGTTATTTGAATAGACTCTCCTTGTCCATCGTCGCTTAGGACGGTTGCATTCATATTATCATGCAGCAGGCGGAGTATCTGGATCTACTTTTGCGGACACAAAACCTTTGAAAGTATCTTCCAAAGAGCTTATATGTTGACCGAATCGAATTTTTTCATTAAATCTATGAAGGCAATGTATAGAAGGCGATTTTCTCCTCTAGATTTCTCTTGCACTGAAAATCATGTCAGCTGTACCTCGGTTGGGTCCAAAGCCACACTGTGTCTGTTCGGCGTCAAGTATCTTTCCCGCAACAGAAAGTAAAGATATTTCTCTGTAGTTTCCACATTAAGCCTTGTCTCCTTTTTTAAAAATGGCAACTATGGTATCAGTTTAGCAGGTATGGTCTCAGTAATCCATAATTTTACTTATTAGGATGTAGGTTTGGGGCGGGCACTGTGGGGCCTCTTTGTTCAGCAGGAATACCGTCAGTACCAACTGACTTATTGTTTTTTAGTTATCTTATAGCTTTTTCAACCTCCTCTAATCTGGGAACCTCGCTCAGTTCTTGTTGTATTGGTTTCTGTGGAATTTCGTTGAAGATGTCATTATTAATTTATGATTCTCTGTTGAGTAGTTCCTGAAACTGTTCCTTCCAACGAGAATTAATGGAAGAACTGTCTCGCGCAGCTTGTGCCTTCTTTGGATCATGAGGGATTGAGACCTTGAGTGGTTGGTCCGTATATCATCTAAGTAGGCTGAAAGTAGGCCCTGGTGCTGTTGAATTGTGTAATAATGCTGCATTGACGATATAATTTTTTGAGAGTTTTTAAGAAGTGTTTTTCAACCTTCGATTAAAATGTTTCAAAGGCTCTTTTAGAATACGATAATGAGCAACGCCCCTTCCACTTTTTAAAATTTATTGAACGCCAAAAATACGATTCAGCTACTTCTAATAAAATGTAAAACAATTGTTCTTGTGCCCTTGGATGTAAAATGAAGCATTTTAATTCATTCGTGGCTGTCTAGATTTTAATAAGTTTAAATAATATGGGTGTGAGATGTCAGACAGGGACAAATGAGGTATCAATTTGTACTATCCTGACATAATTTTCTATCGACAAAGATATTCCCAGTGTCCGGAGTCTCATTTGAGTGAGGGTCAAGTCAATTATTGTACATTTTTGTTCTGAATCGACAAAAATGCGCACATTCGTAGGATAACCCAGACAACTATGATTATGATAAAGGCCAAGTTCAATAATCAAAAACCGGTGACAATAATTCATTATTGTTGAATTAGTTATAGTTTTTAACCCACGTAATTAAATGCGTTTGCTGTGACGCAGTATTCAAATATTGTGCAACAGAAATTGTATTGATTGATGACGCAGTAACTTAATATTGGGTAAGGTTAGATTTTAGTTAGGTCGTTGAACAGTGCTTCTCACAACGTGAACTTCTCAGTTTTTTCCGTGACCTACGCAAAAAAAATAAAAGGTGACATTAAAATATGGGACAGGTAGATAATTTGTTTTTGTTTCTATTGTAAAATGCATTCTTGCTAATAAAAAAAAAAAAAAAAATGAATAAACATCTAAGCATATTAAACCGAATTTCTAATCATATCGATTAGCACAACAGAAACCGGATTATATAATTATTGATAAAATTATAATTGATAATAAGATGCATTTCAAATAGAGGTTAGGCAAATGATTTTACCGGTGTGAAAGATAAAGTAGGTACCTAATTATTTTCAATTTACCCCAATTAAAGATAAGTTTTATAAAGCCTGAAGGAAAAAGTACGAATTCATGATTCATTTACTTTAGGCACGGATAGTGTAAAGTAGATATAGCTTTATAAGTACATATGTGAAAAATACGAACAAAATTAATTCTAGAAATACCTACCTAGGTACTACTATTTAGGTGGGTATTATAAAACTATTTTGACAGTTAACTCATAATTTAACTTGTGGAATGACGTGATTCCACAAGTTAACTTTTTGCTATCTGTCAAAATAGTTTTATAATACCCGCCCTTAGTTAAATACAGTTGTTATTCTAAATAATTTAATAAGTAGTATGAGTAAAGCTGATTTTGTACAGATGACAGTTTTTTGTTAACAGACTGTACAGTACTTTTAACACCAGAGGTGGCAGTCTCTAATAATCCATTAAAATGAGTTCTATTAACCTACAACTACGAAGTTACGATTACCACCCAGGAAATATTATATCAGGAGAAGCTATATGTTATTTCCAAGCACCAAATGAATTCAAAAGTAAGCAAATCATACTTTAAGCATTTATCATATCCCACATTTGCAACAAAAAAAGTTTGACTAAAAACTAATATGTAAGTTTTTTTTGCTTAGCCCATAGCCCATATTTTTATCATTTTCTGAGGGAATAGGACATGGCGATATTGTAGATTTTTGTATATCATTTCCTGGCTTTGTTTATCTCCATGAAAACAGCTAATATTTACTTAACAACGTCGACCCGGCGACTTGCAAGTCGTGATGGACGACGTCCTACCGGAAAAAAATCTTCTACGTCGACCCGACGACTTTAAAGTCGCAATAAACAGGGTTAGTAAAAAGTACTGCAACACCTAAATATCTTCAAAACTGCTTAAGCCGCGTTCACACAATTCGGAATCTAAAAGTTTTTAGGCATGCGAAATTCAACAGTGCTATTGGCAATGTTGCCAGATTTCTCAGTTTTGCGCTACACGTAGTCTTTTTGTTGTCTTAAATAAAAGGCCCCATTTATTTTTATTGCAATGAATTGGGCGTGCCAAATTTGATAAGACTACAAATTTTCAGAATTCTATCTCTACTAGTTGTTGAAATATGAGAACACCGCAATTTCGGTGAAAAGTGTCGCAGCGCTTGAATATCTTCAAAGGCCGCTTAAGCACGTTCACGAAGTTTGGTATCTGGAAATTTTTGGGCAAGCGAAATTCAACAGTGACATTAGCATTGTTGCCAGATTTCCCAGTTTTGCGCTACACGTTGTTATCTTGGATAGAATGCCCCATTTATTTTTTTAGCAATAAATTGTCCAGGCGCTTCCGATAAGTTTGCGGCTCCTCCTGAAATAGGTAGGAAGGTAGATCCCTATCCCAGAATGATTCTCACTATAGTAGGTATCTAACAGTACAAGAAGCATATTGAAAATTTGGAATCTCATTGAAATTTGGACCAATTCATTGCAATAAAAATAGATGGGGCATTTTATTCAAGATAACAGAAAGAATACGTGTGGCACGAACTTGGGAAACTTGGCAACCATGCCGATATCACAGCTGAATTTCGCGTGCCCATAAATTCCCAGATACCAAATTAAGTGGACGAGCTTAAGCGGGTTTTAAAGATATTCAAGCGGTTTGATACCGTTCACTGAAAATGCGGTGTTGGCATATTTCAGCAACTAGTAGAGATAGAATTCTGAAGATTTGGAATCTTATTGAATTTGGCACGTCCAATTTATTGCAATAAAAATAAATGGGACATTCTATTCAAGATAACAAAAAGAATACGTTTAGCGCAAAACTGGGAAGTCTGGCAACAATGCCAATATCACGGTTGAATTTCGCTTGCCGAAAAACCTCCAGATACCAAATTTCGAGAACGTGCTTAAGCGGCCTTTGAAGATATTCAAGCATTGCTATACTTTTCACCGAAAATACGGTGTTGTCATATTTCAGCAACTAGTAACGATAGAATTGTGAAAGTGTGAAATCTTATCAAATTTGAAACGCCCATAATCCACTGCAATAAAAATAAATGGGCCATTCTATTCAAGATAACAAAAACACTACGTGTAGCGCAAAACTGGGAAATCTGATAACATTGCCAATAGCACTGTTGAATTCCGCATGTCCAAAAACTGTCAGGTTCCAATTGTGTGAACGCGGCTTAAGCATTTTTGAAGATATTTAAGTGTTGCAGTACTTTTCACTTACCCTGTATAACGTCCTGTCAAAGGATGGTCTCCGAGGGAAAAATCACATCGGGGTAGTCTATAAATTATACCTTTTTTTACTGTCGGTGCGGTGCGTCTGGTTAATTTCTTTGGGTTTAATATATGGGAAATTGTCGACTTCAAATCGTCTTACGGAAACTTTTGTTAAAACCCCTGGAATATATTCAAAATATTTAAATACTAATCTATGGAAAAGCTCCGGTAAATTACATAACCCGAATGGTGCTCTTGAAAATTTGTATGTTCCGAATACTGTACTAGAAGCACAGAGTTGGCTTGATTTCTTATCTAATCTTAGATGATAAAAACCGTCTTTAATATCAAGCACACTGTAATATTTTTTATATGCAAGAGATGGTGCTAGATCTTCTATTGCAGGAATAGTATATTTTTTCCTAATAATAAATTTGTTTAAATGAATTGAATCTTTACAGATTCTGAAAGATTTATTAGGTTTTTCGACAAGGACTACATTAGAAACCCATTCGATTGGTTCATTTACTGGAACTATAATTTCCCTTTCAACCAAAAAATCGAAAGCTGGTCTTAATCTATCTTTTCATAGGTACCTATTCTACGAGCAGAACTGGCAAAAGGAATAGCATCTTTCTGAAGCTTTATTTGGCAAATATCAGAAAAACAGCCTAAACCTTCAAAGTAATCTTTATATTTTTCAAAAAAAAAATGATTTAATACATACATTTTAATGATTTTCTATTGTATCAATGCGTTCAACTAAATTCAGATTAAGGCATGAATTCAACCCTAATATCGTCTTTAACTACAACAAATTCTAAAATATTAATATTTTCATCTGTTTCCACAACAATTTGACCTAATGATTTAATTTTGAACCCCCCATAGGCAATTAAATTTATATTAAAAAAATTAATATTATCTTGCAAACCGCAAGTTGCTTGATGTATTTTAATTGCAAAATGTTTACTTCTGAACCTGTATCAAGCTTAAATTTGATTAAAAAATCCTCTAGTTTTAACCATTTATACTAAGATTTTCCAGTCTGAAGGTCACCTGCATCATTTATTACATTTACAGTGTGTCCCGCTTAAGGACTGACCACCCTTCTAAAATTTTTATTTTTCAACCAATTCAATTCATTTTTTTTTGTCTTATGTCTACTCGAATTTGGCACTTATTGGGCTCATCATTTTATTTCTGCGACTGTACTGGTCTACAGGGTGTCCACATTTATAGGCTCAAATTTCAATAAGTACTATTAGGGATTTTTTTAGAAAAAATCTGATAGCAGATTCTTGTCTAGAATGGTCTAAAACCCAAATGTACTAATTTTTGTTCCGATTTGATACAGGGTGATTACAACACATTTTGAAAATTTAATAGACCGCAAACCGGAGAAATTTCATATTTTGAGGCCTTGAGAATAACAAAACTTGATACAACATAGTTTTAGAACATCCTTAACCAAAATTTGTAGTAAACTTGTCTCAAAATATAACATTTTTGCGGATTGATTCATTAAATTGTGAAAATTTGTTGTTATCACCCTGTGTCGTATTGAAACAAAAATTAGTAGTTGGGTTTTAGACCATTCTAAACAAGAATCTGCTATCAGATTTTTTCTAAAAAAATCCTCAATAGTACTTATTGAAATTTGAGCCTATAAATGTGGACACCCTGTACACCAGTACAGCCGGAGAAATAAAATTATGAGCCAAATAAGTGCCAAAGTCGAGTATACATAAGACAAAAAAAAATTAATTGAATCGGTTGAAAAATAAAAATTTTAGAAGGGTGGTCAGTCCTTAAGGGGGGGGGACACACTGTATAGAAAACCATGAGTTGGATAATTCCTCGGATAATTCCGTATTTCCATTTACTTCATATACTTCCACATCATTTCGGGATTCACTTTGAGTTTTTACTTCATTACAATTTTTTCTTGCATCTTTTTGTCTCCGGGTTTTACATACCGAAGAAAAATGTTTAATACGTTTACCATATTCATGCTGAGAACCCCATCAAGAACATTTAGATTTGTTGATTTGTATTTTTTTGATCACTGATCTATCAGTTTTACATGTAACCTTGTCAACACACATGTCATTAGGATTTGAAGACAAAATTTTGATATTTTTTTCTGGTAATTCAACAGATTTGCATACATCAATCTAATCAACCGACCAAAAATCAGTTCGTGGGAAAACCCAGAATAGGGAAAACTTGTTTCCCTATACTTGGTTTTCCCACAAACTGATTTTTGGTCGGCCGATTAGATGGTCATCACTAAATTACAGCAAAAATTGCTGTTTAGTGTTGAATCCTTGTCTTAGATGGCGCCACGATAAAATTTCGACCGTCGTACTATTTATATTTTGCCTACAGGCACAAAACTTGGATTGGTTTTCTTTGCTTCTCCTAGCCATACTGATGAGACCTGATAGGTCGAAAAGCGTCTATGGATGGAAAAGCAGAGAAAATCAATCCAAAAATTTTCTCATTTTATTTAATTACAGCAGAAAACCTATCATGATGCAAAAGGCTCATCTGAATCTGCTCATCTCTGCTAAAGAATAGTGTTGCAATAAATGTTTATTTATTTCAGTTCCTTCATTTTTTTTTTCAGCTTAGCTGTCGTTTACTCAATCTGAGATGTACCTCCGTGAAATTTTTGATGGCTGCTATCTCATCATCATCATAGACGATCACTCGATTCCGAGTGTGATTATCTCCTATTCTATTCTTATTGTCGTCGATTATGCGTTTTCTGAAGGTTACATAAACCAATTCTAGAGCCGCTCACTCTTCCACAGTCATGGCACATCCAGCCTCTGGCAGCATTGTTTCTTCCTCTGTTATCTTGCTCCTTCCTGCATTACCTTTTTGCGGTCTCGTGTCTGCGTCGCTTTTCTTCAAAAGTTTGTGATCCATCGTGGACGACTCGATGCCATGAGGGCATATCATTCGTTTGATTTCGTTTTCCCTCTTTCAGTTGACTGTAGAGAATCTACCGTGGAGGACGTGTTCTGGATTAGTGAACGAAGTGACCTGTCCAGCGAAGTTGGTGCTTAATGACTACGGCTTCCATGCTAGTAGTTTTGTCCTCCTCTAAAACACCAATGTTCGTTCGTCGGTACTGCCATTTAATCCGTAAGATCCTTCTTGGGCGGCGCGGTGCTGGTGGTATTTTCCTAGGCTTCTTATGTTCATGTTTCATAGCACTATGTAAGTGTTGGTATTACAAGTGCATTGTAGACGCGAGGTTTGGTCTCAGCTTTCATGTGATTGTTAGAGGACTCTCTCTAGAAGTCGCCTAATCGCCGCGCTAGAACATTTCAAGCGATGTTAGATTTCGCCGTCAATCGTTGCATTCGCTGACAGATAACTGCCAAGGTATGGGTATGTTCTACGTTCTGCAAGGAATCGTCATTTACAGTTATATTTCGTGCTTGGGGATTAGTGCCCGGTGCGGGTTGGTGCAGAATCTGCGTCTTGTTAAAGTTGACCTCTAGGCCTCCTGTATGCCTGGTTGGATGCATTGATAATTGCCTAAAGATAATCCTCTCACGACGTTATCATCCGCATATTAAAATTGGCTCGTAATCTGCTTAGGTTGAATAAGCCGCCATCAAGTCTGTACAGGAAGTCCACTCCTGGCGGCATGTGACCCTCGACAAGGCGAAGTACTGCCAGTATCTCCCAAAGAGCTTCTCTGTTGACCGAATCAAATGGCTCCACTCAATCTATGAAGGCCATATATAGAGGACGATTTCGTTATCTGGATTTCTCTGGCATTTGTCTTGCATTGCAAATCATGTCAACTGTACCTGCTCGGTTGGGTCTAAGGTCACACTGTACCCGGGAGGTTCTGGTCGGCAGTTGGGATTAGCCGATCTAATAATATCCTGGCAAGTATCAGGAAATCAAAGATATTTCTCTGTAGTTTCCACATTGAGCCTTATCTCCCTTTTTAAAAATTGCAAACTATAGAGTATGGAGGCATCTCTAAGTTCGGCATGGTCTCAATAATCCATATTTTACTTATTAGGATGTGGGTTTGGGCAGTTGGTGCGGCCACCTCGTTTGAAGAATTCAGCAAGAATGCCGTCAGTACCAGCAGTTTTTCCAATCTCCTCTAATCTGGGAACCTCTCTCAGTTCTTGTTGTATTTGTTTCTATTTTGCTCATGCTGATAAAACCTACAACCTACTTGTGTATCGTACGTGCAACTTTGACTTGTAGAGTTATCTGAAGCTAAGCAAAAAAAAAACGAGAGCAAAACAACAACTCACGTCAAAATCAATATTTATATCAACTGACCACAAATGCAGCTGCATGAAAAGTCAATCCATAACTGCCATTACTACAAGATATTAATTTTTCTGCATGTGTTTAATGTTTCCCAAATTTCTAGAAATAAGAATACGACTACAAGGCCGCGAACATACCAGTTGGACAAAACATGAGACTTATTATGACAGTTCAGCAAATGAAAATAAATCTAGAACTGCTCGTTACAGTGGAAATCGCACATTTCTTAAGCAAGATGGTATAGTACGTGACCAAGGTGCTCCGTTTACAAGAACATATATCGAGAGATTATTAATCGGGAATTAAATTTCTTTTAGGTACACTTCCAAGTGGCAAACATGTATTCCCAATAAGTTTCCAATTACCTAATGATATACCCGGCAGCTTCGAATGTCAATATGGAAACATTTCCTATACTATAAAATTAACAGTTCATAAAGCATTCAAAATTGATCTCGAAGACACAAAACAAATTAAAATTTCAGCACCTCTAAGGTTAAAAAATATTGACTCAGTAATGCTAGTGAGAAATTTTGCAGTGAATAATTTTTTCAGATGAATATTGCTCTTATATTTTAGAGAGGTTGTGAGTTGGAAGATGAAAAAACTATATGCTGTTGCTGCTGTACAGGCGGTTATGTGGAAATGCAAGTTAGTTTGCATTGCAAAACATTTGCCTTGGGCTATCCAGGATTTGTTAAAGTATATATTTTAAATATGTCCAATGTAAATGTGGATGACTTGACTGTAACTATAGGCCAGGTAGGTATACAATAAATGTTATGAAAAGTAAATTTTCCTTTTGATATAAATATTCAGACACTCACATTCAAAACGACGGATCCAGGTAGCGATTATAAGTACGATGTTGAACAAATAGCTGTGTGCCATAATAGAGGCGTTGATGCTCATGCTGATAAAACCTACAATCTTTCCATAGACATGCCACGTTCTGCAGTAATTCCAAATTTCACACGATGCCAGTTGTTTCGATGTGAACACGAACTTACAGTAACTCTGATGAACAAGAATATTCTTTTTATAAAACAATAATATATTATTCTAGGTTACCGCCGGTCTCTCTGGCTGCCACAATAATTTAGATGTTTCCACAGATGTAGCCGTTTCTCATGAGCCAAGTCTCAATATGCACCCACCTGGTAACCATGAAGAACATGAACCACAATCAAACGCAATGCAGAATAAGAGAAGATCTTCTTGTGGAACAATAGGAGGTGGAGAATATAATGGCGAGGCACCTGTCATAAGTCAACCAATGCCTAGGAATATGCCCATGCCTATTCCCATGCCCATGTCTATTCCCATGCCTATGCATAAGCCTATACCTATGCCTATGCCTATGCCTATGCCTATGCCTCCTTACGGTGCTGCGTGTCTATTTCCGAAGCCTTTGCCCATGCCGGGTTATGGTGAACCACCGTATTCTGGTTCTTCCGATCCATCTACATTTCCATCAGCTAATGCTCCTTCTGCTCCTTCAGAATTAGATCTAGCAGATAACTCTGGTAAGGATCTTTTTATCCACAAATCGTAATAAAAATCTCTACATATTCCGTACCTCACAGTTTGTTGGTCAAAATTGTTTCTAAATATATTATGTAGGTACTTACCACAAATGAGGAGGAGAATTTCTACGATAATTGTCCACAGAGTTGCCAACCTCCAAAATAGTTTTCTTGTTCCGTGTGCGCTTATACATTCTTATTTATTCCAATACCTACCACATAATTACATTTGCATTGCTTCATAACCGATGACTTCTTATCAGATTTAATTAAACCGTTATATACCTTGGATCTTACAATTTCAAACACTGGACTTGAGTATTTCCGGATCGCTGGGGAACTGTTTTCACCACCTAGTACAGGGGAGCATTTTCTCAAATACGATATACAGGGTGTCCATTTAATGCTTTATAATAGCATCTTCGACAAAATTATACAGAAACACATACCTGCGGAACTTAGAGATGCCTCCATAGTAACCGTTTTTAAAAAGAGAGACAAGGCTCAATTTTGAAACTACGTAGGAAAATCATTACTTTCTATTGCGGCAAAGATACTTGCCAGGATCTTATCAAATCGTCTGATCCCAACTGCTGAAGAGAGCCCACCATAGACACAGTGTGGCTTTTGACCCAACCGAGGTACAGCTGACATGACTTTCAGTGCAAGACAAATGAAGAGAAATCCAGGGAACAAAATCGCCCTCTAAACATGGCCTTCATAGCATAGACTTAGTGAAAGCAGTTGATTCGGTTAACATAGAAGCTTTTTGGAAGATACTTGCTAAGGTTGTGTGGCCGCAAAAGTACAGCCAGATGGTCCGCCTGCTGCATAATCTGAATTATAATATGAATGCAACCGTCCTAAGCAACGATGGACAGGAGAGTCTTTTTTTATAACTACAGGCGTTGAACAGGGCTACGTTATTGCACCCACTCTATTTTCTCTATTTATAGGATCCATACTTAACCTTGTCGAGGGTCACCTGCAGTCAGGAGGGGAAATCCTATACAGACTGCATGGCGGCTTACTCAACCTATATAGAATACGAACCAAGACAAAAGTGTCGAATCGATAATTGAATGATAACGTCGTAATGGCCAATATAGAGGAGAAGATTTTCAGGCAATTATCGATGCATGCAACCAGGCGAATCGGCCTAGAGGTCAACCTTAACTTGGCGCAGATTCTGCACCAACCCGCACCGAATACTAAGCCCCAAGCCCTAAATATAACCATAAATGACCATTTTTTGCATAACGTAGAACACTATCCATACCTTGGGAGCTATCTGTCAGCGAATGCAACCATTGACGCTGAAATCCAACATCGCTTGAAGTGTGCTAGCGCGGCATTCGGGCGACTTTCAGAGAGAGTCTTTAACAATTACGATATCAGCGCTGAGACCAAACTTCGCGTCTACAATGCAGTTGTAATACCAACACTAACACATGGCTGCGAAACATGGACCACCTACAAAAGACACATGAAAAGCCTAGAAAAATACCACCATCAGCCATGCCTAAGAAGGATCCTACGAATTAAATGGCAAGACCGACGAACGAACATTAGTGTTTCAGAAGAGGCCAAAACAACTAACATTGAAGCCCTCGTCATTAAGTACCCACTTCACTGGACAGGCGACCTCGTCCGCATGCCCGAAACATGTCTTCCACGATAAGATCTTTACAGTGAACTGAAAGAGGGAAGACGAAATCAAGGAGATCAACAGACAACAAAAACACAACAAAGATGTTCTAAAGGAAAAAATGGCAAAGTGCCGCATCGATACCAACAACTGGGAGACGACGGCAAATGATAGGCCGTCATGGCATCGAGTAGTCTACGGCGGACCACAAACTTTTGAAGAACAACGACGCAGTAACGAGACTGAAAAGAAGAGGAAGGACCGAGAGAACAGAGGAAGAGACAAGAAGAGTGTGCGGCTCCAGAATTGGTTTATACATATAGCCATCAGAAACCGCACAATGGACAACAATAGTATAGAATATAATCATATTCGGTATCGCCTATGGTGATGAGGATAATAATGATGATAAAAATGCAAATTATTATTTACATACTTATAGTCTAGGAAAATTGTCGATTTTCAAAAAAAAAAATTCCTACCCAAATGAACTTTTCAGTGATGATAGGGGGCGGGTGGGTAATCATAAAACCGAAAATATCAAACATTCACCCCTCTGGCGTTTTGCGCTATAGGGGTTAAAAGTGCGCCATTGGCGATTACTTGGTACGTATTGATTTTACCAAAAAATGTTTCAAATAAAAGATGTGCAATATTATTTTATCTACAATGTTTATCTGAAGACTTTTTTGATTAAGGGCCGTTTGTGGTCATAAGGGCCGTTTGAAATTTTATAATGAAAATGAAAAATTTTAACCAAGGTGAAAAAATTTTCTACAACACATACAACATTTTTGCTTTATGAAGTTTTTACTCACCCCCTGCCGTTTTTCAATAGGGGTAGTTTAAAGTTTTTTTATTTTTTTACAAAAAAATTTTCTTAATAAAAGTTTTATAAGATGACATTTCCTACAATTTTTCCTAATCAACTTTTTTTGTAACTCATCCCCATTCAGCGGGGGGACACTTCCCTCTGGGAAATTTTAGTTTTTAGGGGTATATATTAATTTTTTTTTTCTTTTCTCGGCTTTAGTGCATATAAAATGTTGCAATTAACATTGTATTAAAAGGATTTTTTTTTCACCGCCTTTTTGTTTTTAGGGGTAGTTCGCCTATTTTCAACTTTACAAAAAAAAAATATTAAGAAAACTTGTTCATTTTATTATTTTGAGCAATTTCTCTCTATAACTTTTTTTGTAAAGTTGAAAATAGGCGAACTACCCCTGTTGGCGTAATGGTTGATATTTTAGAATCACCTTCGGAGTTACGTGGACTGTAAGCGCAACTAATGAATATGTAGCAAAAAATAACCATACAAAAGACAATATGATAAAAGGCGCCTTACCTGTGGTTCTGGGGTTCTTCTAGTTCTAAGTTAATTTTTAATACCGGGATCCCGGGTCTTGTTTCGGTTGCACAACACTACCGGCTTTTATTTCGAAACCGGTAACCGGCGAGCTCGCGAATTCATCGACTTTCTTGTGTGCGAAAACGGATTAAAAAATGTGTGTTCGTGTTTCGTGTTTGGCGAAAAGAGAGAGAGTGGTTCGCAGTCGCTTGGCTGTACGAATCTAGTGTTTTTCGTACCTTTTTTGTCGACCTCGGTTCCATACCGAGGGCGCTGTTGTTCCCTGCATAGGAGGCGCTATACCTATTTGAATTTGTATGGTTTTTCAATATGAGCAAAATTCGTGACTTTGACACTCTTGAAGAGATGCACATACATTTTCCGCCCACTCAAAACCAACGTTTTGAAAATCAAAAAATCAAAGAGAAAAAATAAAATTGAGTAAAAAAAAATAAATAAAAATAAACTAAAATAAATGAGGTAAGAATTCTGACCCGCGACGACGCAAACATAGATACATTGGTAAGGTTTGGAATCTAACCAATTGGCAAAGGACACAGCTTAACAATAGGACGTTTAAACAGGCCTTGCTGGGTCCTTAAGGTGACCACCCGAACATGCCCATCTGGTCCGGGATGTAGCTCAACAACTCGGCCAAGGGCCCAATGAAGGGGAGGTTTCGTTTCATGTTTGATAATTACTAGTTGGTCTAAAGTTATTTTCGAAGGATTTTGAGTCCATTTTGAGCGTTGCTGCAAGGTGTGGAGATATTCATCCTTCCAGCGTTTCCAAAATTCTGCGTTCAATCGTTGAACTAATTGCCACCGAGACAAAGTGTTCAATTTGAGATGGGACAAATCAGGGTCGGGACAAGAATTTAGAGGTTCTTGGGTCAGAAAATGTCCCGGGGTTACTTGCTGCAAGTCGTTTGGGTCGGAGCTCTGGGCACATAAAGGCCTGGAGTTCAAGACGGCTTCCACTTGAGCAAGGAAAGTGTTTAGCTCTTCGTAAGTGAGTCGCTGATCACCGATCACTCGATACAGATGAGTCTTTACCGCTTTGACGCCGGCCTCACTCAAGCCATTGAAATGCGGAGCAGCTGGGGGATTGAAATGCCAGAGAATTTGAAGATGATCCGCAGCCAATTGGGACATTTCTATCAGCTGAGTATTGGCACCCACAAACGTCGTTCCGTTGTCACTGTAGAGATGGGTTACCCGCCCACGCCGAGAAATAAAGCGACGGAATGCCCCAATAAATGCCTCGGAGGTCAAGTCAGAAGTAAGCTCAATGTGCACTGCCCGGGTGGCACAGCACACGAAGACACATATATAGGCTTTTAGAACCTTGGCTCCTCGATATCTTCCCATGACTATATTAAAGGGGCCAGCATAATCCAGAGTGGCATGCGAAAAACATTTAAGTTGGGAGATTCGAAACGAGGGTAGGTCTCCCATATACGGAGTATACGCTTTTGGTCTGAGACGAAAACATCTGATGCAACGGGAAAGCACAGACTCTATCGCTCTTCGGGTAGATAAAATCCAGAATTGCTGACGCAACAAATTCTGGACGGTATTCAAACCAGGATGTAGATTGTCTTGGTGAACTTGTTCAATCAGGCGACGAGTAAAAGGATGGCCGCGAGGTAATAAAACGGGATGTTTGGCTTCAAAGGACATATGGGCATGTCTTAACCGTGCGCCCACTCTGACCAGTCCCTCCTTGTCAAGAAAAGGAGCAAGAGGTCGAAAGGCCTCTGAAACTAGCTCATTGTTTCGAATTTGGGCAATGAGACCTGAAAATCGTCGTTGTTGAGCTCTTTTGGATAAAAGGAGCAAAGCGTTTTGAAGTTCAAAGGAGGAGATCGCTCCGGTAAGCGGAGACGATTTGTGACGATAATTGTGAGAAACTCTCAGGCACTGACAAAGGATTTTCTGTATTTTAGACAAAGAGGAATATTTGTCTAATAGAGTGTCGAGGATATGATCCTCAATCATGGCCGTTAAAAGAATGGGACTCCTTTCTTCGATTGCGGCTATTTGATTACCACATGAATTTGGGGGTTGTCGATTCCATGAAGAACTTGGTTGAAGAAGCCAGGGAGGTCCTTGAAACCATAAGGGATGATCTGCCAGACTGGCAGGAGTTAAGCCACGGCTTGCACAGTCTGCGGGATTTTCGTGAGTGGACACGAGATACCACTTGACATTTGGGATCGTTTCTTGGATGTGGCTAACCCGATTGGCTACAAAGCTCTTCCATCGATGTGGTGAGCTAGCAATCCAAGCCAAGACAACTTGGGAATCCGTGTAAGCGAAAACTTCGTCGATAATAGTTAGTTTAGTGTATGACTCCATAACAAACTGAAGAAGGTTGGATAGAAGAGTGGCACCTAGGAGTTCCAATTTAGGTACACTTTGCGATTTGAGGGGTGCTACTCGAGCCTTGCCAATGATCAAAGAGGTTTGAATGACACCCTCGGGCGACTCTATGCGAAGATAGACTGCAGCAGCGTAGCCTAACTCGGAGGCGTCAGAGAATCCATGCAGCTGGCAACGTAAAATATTTTGCGAAAAAATGTATCTAGGAAAAAGTATTTTAGCTAAACCAGGAAGTTCTGATTGAATTTGAGACCAACGGTTTTGGATAGATTGTTCGACTGGCTCGTCCCAGCCGGTTTTAGAAAGCCACAGCCTTTGCATTAAGTGTTTAGCGCAGAATGAGACAGGCGACAGAAATCCCAGAGGGTCAAAAATTCTAGCAATTTCGGATAAGATATTGCGTTTGGTGCACGGCTTGTCTGATGGTTCACAAGCGAAAAACATTTTATCTGATGAGGGGTCCCAGTTTAAACCTAGGACTTTTATGGATAATGGTTCCTCCCTGTCGAACGACACGGGAATTTGGCATTCTTCGGGGGAGAGAGATGATAGTAGTTGCGGAT